GCACCAGGGAAATCAACTATCATTGACTGGTATGCTCAATTTAAACGTGGTCATACAAGCGCCGATGATGCTGAACGCGCTGGTTGTCCAAAATCAACAGTCGTTCCGGAAAACATAAAAAATGTCCACAAAATAGTTTTAAAGGGCCGTAAACTTAAGTTGTGTGAGATAGCAGATGCCTTGAAGATATCAGAAGGTAGTGTCTTCACAATTTTGCATGAAAATTTGGGCATGTGCAAATTGCTTTCAAAGTGGGTGCTGCATTTCAAAGTGGATGCCGCGTTTGGTGTTTCACGAAGGCAATGCGCCGTGTCACATGTCGATGAACACGATAGTTCAATTGAATGAATTACGTTTTGAATTGTTTCCCCACACACCGTACTCCCCAGATTTGGACCCCAGCGGCTACTGATTCTTTGCAGATATGAAAAAAATGCTCCAGGGAAAGAAATTTGGCTCAAATGAAGAAGTGATTGCGGAAACTGAAGCTTATTTTGGGGGCAAAGACAAATCGTTTAATATAAAGGGAATTGAAAAGTTAGAGGTGCGTTGGAATCAATGTATCACATTGGAAGGAATGTATATTGATGATTAAAGTGGAATTTCTAAAAAAAAATTTGTTTTTCTTAGTTAGACCGGAGACTTATTGAGTGACGTGTTACTTGTTTAACAGCTCCAGTACTAAATTTATTCTACAACACATCTCGCAAAAGCATTGTTAAGAGCTCGTAAATTCGTTCAAACATACAAATATGAAATTATAAGATGTACCATCCCCAGCCATCGAAATAGGATCATGTACGAAAATTTCACTTTTATAACTATAATATTATGACATGTATGAAAAATTGTCTTAGGTCATGCAAAATTATTACTAAATACGTTGATAACGGTATACACATAGCAATTTGTTACTATCCTGATGATAAATTGTGTGGGTGATGAGCGATTAAGGGCAGTGCAAGCGTTTACGTTAGACTCGAGTACCGATAGCGCGTTAGATGAAATTTAAATGCTATAGAAAATGTCTGCCTACTCTAAAGACTAATTTATTAACTCTCTAACCACATTATCTAAGTTGAATTACAAATATTTGGAAAAATAATGAAAATGTAAAGCATAGCATCAATGTATACGAAGCATGCGCGTACAAGCTGTCACCAAAGCAAAGGGTGGAAATACAAGATGTTAACATATGTTAATAATGTTATGTACAATAGTAGTTACGTTAGTAGCTGTTAGTAGTTATGAAAATTTATAATGGTCCTACTTCGATGGCTAGGGACTGTAGGATAGTGTTGAAAAATTGTTCTAATAACGGTTCGTTCGTATAAAAATAACGAGTAAATAATTATATAAACGATTGTTTAAATATGTAGTAGCTTTTTGCAAATTTTTATGATATAAAGAAATATTCTTTATACTATACTTCAGAAAGAATATGCTGTCCTGCGTTATGAAATTTTAAAAACAAAATTGCAAAATCCGGCTCTATACACTACTGATGTTATACAAGAATCTTGATTTTTAAATCTTGGAATTACTAACAAGTTACACTTTTCCACAATTTTAAAAACAAAATACTGTCTTTGTTTCTCTTGACTAATATGCTATAAGATGAACGAGTATCGGTCAGAACTTATCAATTTTCCACAAAAATACTCGGGCACAAGACTTAATCTTTAAAATTTTTAAATTTCAACCTTGAAAAAATACTTAAAAGCTATCTCAACGAAATGAATGACAATGAATTCATGAAACGAACTCAATGAAATGTACTTGATTTTGAATAATTATAAATTACAAATAATTAGTTATACCGGATGAAACGGTACAAATAAAAACCATAATTAAAAAAATGTACCATTACTTACCACCATTAAAATAAGGGCACTGAAGACGCCGAACGCATAAGCACCTGATGTTTGATAAAAGAATTGTCCAGCTAATACGAGTCCATAAGTAGATGAACTGTCCATGTCGAAAGGGAGATCCATTTTTAAGAACAGTGGCGATGAATTCCTGGGTGCAGTTGCTGCAGTGCCAGCAATATGAGTAACTGGACCTATCACGTACATAGTGAGAATTGTGGTTGTTAAAACATAAGAAAGACGAGCGGTCTTGAGTATCAATTTGTCCGTATCCATAGCAGCATATTTCTTGCATTCCTCTTCCATCGTTGATAGAATGTCGCAGAGTACGCTATGAAATATTTCCATAAATAAATTTATCAAATATAGATAAATTTACTACTAGAGACTATATTAATGCAAGTATACATATACTACAGACTATACTAATACAAGTATATACAATATACTAGAGAGTATACTAATACAAGACGACATTAATTTTGATTAATTATATTTGACAAACTTTTATTTAACAAATAAATTTGATATCCAATTTAAAAATCCAAAACTCTCGAATTTCTTAATTTCTCAACTCATAAATCGGTTAATTCAGATTTTGAAATTAAAAAATTTTACAATTGTTAAATCTTCGAGTCTTCAAATTACTAATTTCCTAAATTTTCGAATCGTTTCATTTGCAGGTTCTTAAATTTATAAATTTCTTTTCTCTTAAAAGATCTAATTTCTTCATATCTTCCTATTTCCAAATCTTTCCAAATTTTTAAATTTCCGAATTCCAAAATTGCTAAGTTTTACATTCATAAATTTCAAAGTCCATGAACTTAAAAATCTCGAGAAATTCCTAGATTTAAAAATATACCAATTAAACCTTGAGTTTGTTACATCACCACTTCCCTGTAAGAGCCCGGGGTGTTCGCCACTTTATATAAAATTTTAATTAATTTCATTACAAGGTACGTTATAATATTATTTCAGAAGATAATTATACATACTTTATAAAGTGTTGACATAAAAGCAATTATACAGAGCATTTACAATCTGATAATATAACCACAAAGGAGGTGAATCTACAAAAATACCAAATAAAGTATTTCCGTATACGACATCAAATTATGTTACAAAAAAATTGAATTTGAAGATTTTTCAAGTTTTTGTAAGAAAATTTTTCGAACACTTGTACGGTACAAAAATGAAAAATGCAATAGATTTTCTAATAATTCAATGAATAATAAATGTATATAGTGATTAATACATTTAAACCTTAATACAGTGAGTTATAAAACTAAGTATTAACATAAGTATTGATATAATATGGTGAATTTAGTCCACGATAAGAATAGGCATAAACAACAATTTGTATTATAAATTACACAGATAAACAAATTTTCGTAATATTAATATAATAATATTTAATACTTCATATTCTCTAATTATTAAATTAACATTTCTTGAAATTGTCACTTTCTGTATCGCGAATAAATTTCTATGCAAAACTTGAAAAATATTCAAATTCTGTATCCTCGAAACTCAATTCACATGCAAAAAAATTAGATTCTACACTCTTGAGTATTCTTTATTTTCTCATGTAGATTAATCCCCTTTTGTACTACTGAAACAAATTCAGATGCTTAATTCGAAAACCTTATCAAATTACATAATTCAGAAACTACACAATTACACAATTTTAAAATTATAAAAGAAATTAAACGTAGACTATTTATACGATTCCTGTTGTTTTTTCAGAATCATGCAGACTTATTTTTATCGAATCATAATCAAATGCATGTAAGAAGAAGTGTAGTATTGAATCAACAGATACGTGTTGCCCTTAACACTTTAATGGCCGCTCACAGAACATGTGTGTGATGATTGATGAACGTAAGCGATTGCCTCAATAATTACCACATAAGGGCCAATATTAAACTTGTTGTATTAAAAGTTTCGTAATAGTTTTCATTTGTTTCATGTGTACGTTTGTACACGTTGGATTATTTCGTGAATTTACATAAATTGTCAAATTAATTCTTCGAAACATTGCCAGGTCCTGACGGCATTTGACTGCGTAGGCAGCCCAATAAAGAGTTAATGCAAAAATAAAAATGCATTAATGCACAATAAAAATGCGAATACTTACCTATAATAAATCCAAGAAATAATTAATTTGACATTGAGCTGAGTGAATGCCAATGCAACACAGAAATTATCAACAGATTCCCTAAATGCCTCGAGTCCATAGTGCTGAACGACATATCTGTACTGAAAAACTTGAAATAAACCCGAGACTATTATCCAATAAATTTTGTGCAACATTGGAAATGGCGTTCCCGGCCAGATACCGATAAAATGAAGACCGATTTTAACGGACGAACTAATTGTATTCGGTAATTCCATTTTTCGTAACATTTAATCGTATTCTATCTTTCAAAATTCCGATCAACGTGTTCGCATTAACGAATCATCTTTCGTTTATCTGGTACCTCTGTTGTCACCATCAGTTCTTGACGACGTACTTGGAGAACGATTTACGGTGAACTGAAAACTTCGAAGAAATTATAGCACAAGCTTATGGCAGTTGTCCGACGATGAATGCCATCAGCATCGTCTTTCGCATTGCGCACATTAATATTGCAGATAATAAAGTTATTACCGATACTGTGCCTGGAGGAAGAGCTAAGAGTGGCGTTTCTCAAATCGTGTTCGAAACTTTGTTGCAATAGCGAATGATTCCCATGAAAAATGGAGGATGTGCAGTGCATTCATGGGGGTGCATACTAAATCACACGAATAACAAATTTTTTTGGTTGCAAATGGGAAACTGAGCTTGAATACCTAAGTGTCGTTTAATATTTTACTAAACTGAAAGTAGTGCGACTATTTTTGGTTTGATGCATGTGTTTGGGGTCTAAGAAAAAAGAAGTGGTGCAAATAGTGGTTGGTTTTGTTGAGAATGTTCTGTTTTGTTTTGAGACGTTGACATATTTCGATTCATATTTTTCTATAGAATTAGTGGATTTCTTCGAATACAAATGATGAGTAAAATTCACTTTTCATTTAATTTCAAGAAACACATTTTTTTTTAATTTTGAGCAAAGCTAATTGATTAAGAGGAGGAAAAGACATAATTAATTAATTTAATCACACTAGGAAGAAGATAAATTGACAAATTATTTGTTTACCATAAATAATTTTATTTTCTGCGAATTAGTATAATTAATTAAACTTCATAAGGCATTCAATTTAGCTATTTTTATATATGTACAGTTTACATTTCCCTGTATTATTTATAAATAATATTAGTAGTACAATTTGTGTACATTACTTAAAAGTAATAATAGAAGTACCCTACACACTTCTGTTTATTTTTTATAATGGTACACTGTGCATTTTTACATATTACTTATTAGTAATAATAGTAAACTTAATTATAAGAATTTATTACAAAATAGCGATTTCGAAACTATCGCTCATATAACATAATTTTTAAAACAATATTAATTTTAACTTACACATTTTTCATTTAAAATAATTTTTAATATAGTAATTTTTTTAATATAACATTTAATATAGTAATTTTTTTAATATAAAATTTAATATAGTAATTTTTTCAGTCTTAAATCTAGTATTTTCGAGTAACATAAAATGAAGCATGATAAAAAGACAGTAGATTTATTAAATCGATGTATTAATAATAATAATAATAATAATTTTTAAAATTATTTTTTATCTCCTCTGACTCCATAATGGAACTAATTAAAAAACGAGTAATTAATTCATCATGAATTGAGTGCCCCAATTTTTAAACGAATCTGCATATCTCACATCAAGATCGATGAAAAACAGGAAAACCTTTTTAAACGTTAATGAGGTCTTGTTATTCTGATAAACAAATATTCGCGAACAATAATAAATTATACAAACCTATATTTAATTTTAAATATACAATGTAGCAATACTTTATATTCTGAATGCTTTTATAATACGTGACATCGTAAGAACCAATGTTGTAATAACAGTTTAAACTTCGTTTAAACTTAAATTTTATAACTCAGGTTAAAGTTTAAACTTTGCCCATTATTTATTTTCCGTTTTTCAATATAAAGTTTTAAGCGCAGTCCAAACTTAGATTTTTCAAGGGGTGGGAAATAATCGTTTAACCATCGTTTAATAAAACAAAAGCTGTTACTTCAAACATTGAGTTTTATTTTATTGCTATCCATTTTGTTTTTAAAAATAAGAACGTAAGACACATTTAATTTAATTACGAATTATTTTGTTTGATATTTTAATACTGTATTTAAGTCTTGTATAAAGCAGGAATAAATGATTTTAATTTAATTAAGGTTTAAATTGCTATTAATACCAGTGTTTTAAAAATTGTAATTATTGTAAATAATTAAATAATTGTATTATAAATAATTATACAGTAATTCTATTCTGGAAAGGAGTGGGCTAATCACTTCTAAAAATTATATGCACAGTAGTGCCGTCTAAAGCTTGAAGAACCACCCAATGACTAAATTGGGAACAAATGATATCCAAGCTATTATAATTCTTAGATAACGATTTATTCGTATTTAGTGTGTGGTGTCGTGTATACGTGCGTAGCTGTGTGTGTGTGAAGTATTAATATGTGTAGGCTGATCTAAGTAATTTTAACTGACTGATCCAGTTGACTGACTGAAAAACTAAATGACTCAACCGACTTATCCGGTTGACTGACTGATTTTTGACCAACTAATCTGATCGATGATTTTTACTGAACTGACTGATTGGAAAATATTCGCTTTTTCGTAACCTTCCCTTCCAGTGCGCCCTTAGCGCGCTTCCCTGTGAAAAGGGAAGACGAAAGCCAGAGTGGGCGAAAGTTGGACTCAAGGAGAAACCAAGAGTCCCAAGAAAACTGCTTTCCGTCACCCCTCAAAACCCTTAGTCCCTGCCATAAATTAGGCCGTACTCCAACATATTCCTTCATAGAATATCTCGTTTGTTCATTTAAAAATGATGAAATTAAGAAAATAAGTTTCGTTTAACTTAATATAATATTTAAGCAAATCAATTTCTTTTATTTAATTTTTTCTGCCATTGCTTAAAAATATTTTTTTGGTGTTAGTAAAAAATTGAAAAGAAAATTTTCATAATTTCTACCATGATTCGAACTCACTTTTCGCAGTTTAATAAGCGTAGAGATTTGAATTCCGTCAGTTTACAGCACATTCTTGATTTCGTATCACTTTACAACAGCGAAATACAAATTACAACAACCTCAAATGTAAATTCTCCCTTATTTTCTAAAGTTGCGTATTATGCTTGTGCAAAATTACTGCCTTTGGTGTCCTCTGTAATTATAACAAAGTTTAACTGTGATAGATGTTTCAAAGGTCGTGTAACCTCATTGTTCTGTAATATGCTCCTCGGTTAATTAAAATTGTGGAAATTACAAAATATGTAGTAGTTAATCGCAATGAAAAATTCTCTTTTATAACTAAATTCATTGGTAAAATTTAGTGTGAAATATTAAGTATTTATTAATTCGAGTAATTTTAATAAATTTTAAAGTAAAATTTAATAAATAAGTATTTAACTACGTGAAAAACTATAAAAACGAAATTGCTGCAAGATTTGATCCCGCAACTTTCAGATCATAACAATTTCAAATATCACTGATACATGATTCGGAAATTGCTTTCATTTTATTTAAAATTTTTAAAAGCCGTTTTTTCTATAATTGTATAAAACGTAAACTCTCCTCGTTCGGTCGAATAAATCCACAAACTATAAAAAATGAAAATGAAACAAAAATATCAACATCTGATCGCCTCTTTATGAATTGCAAGCATTTAACGTGCATGATACTTGTAACGTACATTCTTTTTACAATTAAAGATTAATGTTTAATTATATCAATATACTTATTTATCATTTTTGATAACGTAATAGTACACTAGTATTAGGTTGGGGAATAAGTTCGTGGCGTTTTGACATTTTCTTTTTTTTTACAGCGACATTTTGCAATTTGCAAGAAGTTATAATATTCATTCGATAGAGCTCTTTCTGCTCTACAAAACTGTGTTAATCGTTTTTTTCAGTAGATTTATTCGTCATTACTATTGAAGCTTAGAAATGGAATATCAAGAAGGTAAAAAGCAGCATTTTCGACACCTGCTGAAACAGACCGGGATATTTGCAATATATACGGAGAAGGTATCATAGGTGAGTCGACAGCACGGAAATGGTTTGCAAAATTCAACCCAAGGTTGGGCAATAAGTTCGTAGCGTTCACTTCGTGAGGCACCCAGGCTCCCAATTTTTCAACAAATCCCATTGAATGGAGATGATTGAAAATAGTTTTGTGGTCACAGTTCATATTTTCGACCAATTTACGACTAATTTGAGGACCATCCTGCTTCACACGTGCTCGGAGACGGTCTTCGTCGAACTCAGAAGGTCTTCCGCTGCGGGGCGGGTTTTTGACGTTAAAATCGCCATTTTTGAATTTTGCAAACCATTTCCGTGCTGTCGACTCACCTATGACACTTTCTCCGTATACATTGCAAATATCGAAAGCGAAGAAAAGCAGGTGTCCAAAATGCTAATTTTTACCTCCTGGATATTCCATTTCTGAGCCTCAATAGTAATGACGAATGAATCTATTGAAAAAAACGATTAACACAGTTTTGTAGAGCAGAAAGAGCTCTATCGAATGAATATTATAACTTCTTGCAAATTGCAAAATGTCGCTGTAAAAAAAAAGAAAATATCAAAACGCCACGAACTTATTCCCCAACCTAATAGGTCTACTTACCTGATTTGAACGAATTTACAATTTACCATTCAAATCGAATTTACCATTTTATTTAAGAAACAAAAATACACACGAAGTTTTTAATACTCGGAAAATAAATAAATATTCAAGAATATCTCATAATTGAAACTAAACACAAGACTGTTTAAATTATAACAGACTATGTTTTATTGTTAACAATATTTATTTCTCAAGACATTGCAAGCAGTACCGACATATACGAAGCTGAGGCCTTCATCATCTACAAACATAATAATAAAATTATTGTCACCCATATTACAAAAGTAATAATAATATTAATACACAAGATTTACAAATAACAATCCTAATAAATAGTTTTGTTTCAACAATGCAATATTTATATGGTAGATAGAACTGGATGTACTGACTAACAAGAAACTTGAGTAAAAAAAAATAACGGTTTCTGATGTACAAATACTCTTGTACGTCCGCAATGCGATTGACACACTGGCTTCTATTATCGCGTGCGATGTTACCTCAGTGTTTATAAACTGCATTGAATGTCCTTATTCAATTCCCATACATACTTTATGACAAAAGATTTCATCGGCAATCAGTCAATTGTCCGCAACCGGTGATTGTGGATCTATTTAGTATTACACAGTTGCAAAGCACCGTGCTGAAAATGTCAGCGTATTACTGTAATAAAGAAATGGCAGAGCATTTTATGTGTGATCGTGCTAATGGAGTGCTTTAGCTGCACGACGCCTTTGCACGGAAAAGTTTCCTAATCGGAAGGTCTCTCTCACACGCTGTTTCGATATCTCTACCAACACCCTTTCGAATCAGGCGCATCTGAAACTTGCTATTGAAACTCTGGTAAACTTAGATCTGTATTGACTGCTAATAGGGAGAATCGCATTTTAATAATTGTAGAAGAAAATCCCGGAACAAACGTAAAAAGAATATCCGATATCGTAAGAATTGGTATTATTCTTGTTCGGAGATGTTTCATGAGCAGTTACTTTATTCATATTCAACGAATGCGAGCACTTACTCCACCGGATTGTCAAGCAAGAATAAAATTTTCACAATAACTACTCGTAAAATATGCTTCGAATCCGAATTTCGTATCCTGCATTTTGTTAACTGGTAAAGCTGTATTAATGTAGAAAGAATTTACAAATTTTCTTAATGATCTCGTATGGACAGATGAGAATCCTCGTGCATTTATTCAAGTAAATCACCAACACCGCTTTTCGTTAAATGTTTGAATAGGTATTATGGAAGATTACCTCATTGATCCTATAATACTCTCAAATCGGCTTTCAGGTGCTGCTTATTTCACTTTCTTGGTGAATACATTACCTCGGTACTTGGGAGACATGCCTTTGGAAGGAAGGTTATGGATGTGGTACATGATATGACTTGATCTCATTTTGTGTGTAATGAGATAGAGCACTTGAACACAGTTTTCGGTCAAAGATGAATTGATCTTGATGAGTTGAATGAGCCTCTCGAACTCCCGATTTAAACCCTTTGAACTTCTTTTGATGAAAGTATTTGAAAAACAAAGTGCAATCTTCGTCAATACAGAACGTGGAAGAATTAATCGTATCTGTCAAATAATTCAATAGATATACGGAATTTTCGACAGAGTAGCTTTGTTTGAAAATACTGAACCATACGTGAAAAAGGAAGAAGGACGTGTTAAACGTTTTCTACAATTATTTAGAAGGCATTACACAATAAGTCAGTCATGTTAATACACTAAAAATAATATTGTCTCAGGAACGATTGATCTCACTACCTATGATTTATTAAGTTCCTTGTACTTTCTACAAAATGTCCTGCATACCATATAAATATTGAATATTTTTTTGTTCATACCTATACATATTATTTATGGTAAAATAAAAGATGGAAAACTTACAGACATAAAACTTTCCAAAGAGAGACTTGAAAATTTTCCAAAAGTGAGCTTAAGTCCTTTTTGCGATCTGAGTATCGGAAGTACTAGAAGTTGACTCTCATTCGGATGCAAATCGTACCAAAGGCACTTGTATGCTGTTTCGCAAATCAACTTACTCTAAAAAATATGTGATATTTTGGCGAAATATAATGTAAAAATGTCGATATTTCGTGATGTTAAGTTTATAATCCTAAAGTTTTAAACTTATATTTCAAAAATTTTTGAAACGAGTTTATTGCAGCATAAATCTTTTTGTATTATGTGTCATTTGATAACCTTGGTACTGAGATATTCTCCCGCGAAGCAATATAAATACGCGTCTAACCAGACGACAACATAGAATAAAATAGATTTGATTAAAATAGGTAGTCCATTATCGATATTGAACGCCTGTAACATCAAATTATTGACATAAACGAATCACTCGATAATAAATTGTTTATAAACGAATCATGGTTTACTTACAATTACGATAAGGAATCCTAAACAACACGTATTTAGAGTATTTGATAAAAGTTGACTAAGTGCCGCATATGTAAATAATTTTTCAATTCTTTCTGTAAGTAAGATTATATCCTGGTGTCGATTAATAAAAAACTTTAATTGTTCCTTATTCTTGACTCGATCTTCTGTTATTGTTCGACACATAATGTCGACCTGACACCCTACGTGAAGTACCTACAAGCACACGAAATTTTAGAAATTTTTAATGTATTATTAATATTTGACAGGATTGCTACTATTCATAATTGTAGTAAGTCTTCACTTTTATTTGAAATTTTTAATATTTAGAATTTTGGAGCTGTAGAGCTGAGGAGATTTTGACATTTGATGATTTGGAAATCTGGTGATTTAGAAATTTAGAGATTTAGAAATTAAGGGATTTGGAAATTTAAAGATTTAGAAATTTCAAAATTTGGAGATTAGAGAATTTGGGAATCTGATAATTTGTATATTCTGAGAGTTTTTAAATTTGGGGATTTTCGTTTTTGGAAATGTTAATTTTTAAATTTGAAGATTTTGGGAGTTTGAGAGTTTGGGAATCTAGGGGTTTGGAAGTTTAAGGATTTGGAAATTTAGAGATCTATGAATTAGGGATTTAGAAATTTTAGAATTTGAAGATTTGGGAATTTGAATATTTAGAAATTTTAGAATTTGAAGATTTGGGAATTTGAATATTTAGAAATTTGAATATTTTGTAAGTTTAGGACTTAGGAATTTGGAAATTTTATGAGTCCTAGAATTTGAGGATTTGAGAATTTGATAATTTGACAACTTGAAGTTTTAAAATTAAAACAATTCTAAATTTTGAGTTTTAAGAATTTAGGATTAATAATTTCAATTTAATAATTGTAGAACTTAATAATACATATATTTAAAAATTGGTGAGTTTAAAAAATTTGAGAATATTAAGTACTATCTTTAAACTGTTTATAGATTTTTCCTAAATTTGGTTACTCCCTAGAAATTTTCATAGCTTCCTTAGTTCTCCTTACTCTCATTCTAATTTCTCTCTATACTCCCTAGACTCTCTCTATTCCCCAAGACTCTACTTAATTTCTTCCTAAAACTTAACTTCTCCATATAACAATATTCACACTTCCTGAAACCCAACTATTCTCTCCAAAGAGTGAAAATTAATTTCCTCAATGGCCCTGTAAATATTAAAAATGGTGAACATCGAACGCTTACCACCATTAAAAGAAGAGCACTAAAAGTGCCAAACGAAAAAGCAGTTGACGTTTGATGAAGAAACTGTGCAGTTAATACTAGCTCGTACACAGGTGTTTCTTTCGTTGCAACAGGTAGATCCATTTTCAAGTGAAAACTTCGGGATAACGTATCGTTATTGTATTCAGACACAAAAAATCCGATAACGTAAAAGAATACGGATATTACATAGGAGAAAATGATTGTTGTTGTTAACCACTGAGAGAGATGAGCTGTTTTAAATATCGAATTATCCGTGTCGATAGCTGCGTACTTTCGACATTCATCTTCCATCGTTGATAATATGTCGCATAATGCACTGAAATATTTTGTTTAAATAGGAATAGTTAATAAAATACTTATAATCAACTGAATAATTAAAAAATAATCAACGAAACAATAATGAACTAAGTAATTAAAAAATACTTAATAAAATAGCAATGAAGGAACCAAAAAAGCATTGCCATCAAAACATTAATGCATTTCAAATACAAGAATGAAATAACACAAAATGCTGTAATAATTCAAAGTAAATTACGAACAATGAAAATTGAGAATATTCACAACAAAACTAGAATATCTCACCCATGATTTACCCACGTGATAATTAATTTGATACTCATCAGAGTGAACACGAGGGCGATACAGAAGTTGTCTATCGTTTGCATGAGGCTATCAGATTGGAAATGCTGGATGATGTATCTGTATTGATAAATTTGAATTGTAGCCATAGACGTTATCCAATAAAATTTATGCAGCGCTGGAAACGGTGTTCCTGGCCAGAGACCAATGAAGTGAAGACCATATTTAACGGAGGGGCTAATTGTACTCGTTGATTTCATTTTATGTAGCAATCGATCATATATTGCCTTTATTTTCTCGCATATGCCTTTTAAATTCGCACGATCGCGTTAAAAGCGAACCATCTTTCGTTTATTGTGCACTGCTACCACAACTGTTACCATCAATTCCCGGAAGGTCACTGTGCTTGGACAATGATCTACGATAAACTGAAAACTTCGAAGAAATTATTACGCGAAGCTTATAGCGGTTGAACAATGGCGGGTGCAATCAGCATCGCCGTTCGCGTTGCCCGCATTAATATTACAAATAATGAAGTAATTACGCAGTTTGTCTGGCTGTAGGAGCAGAGGGTAGCGTTGTTGAAATCGTAATCAAAACTTTGTTGCAATGGCGGATTGTCTTCATTAAAAATATAGAGTGAGCGGTGATACGACTCGCGGGTGCATACTAAATCAGGCAAATCACACACTTTTTGCACTGCTAATCTGATCGATGCATTGCGCTAAAGCCTGGAATACCTCGGTATCATTTGCTACAGCGAACGTAGTTGCAACTTTCTCCTGTTCGATTTTATTTCCGTAAGAAAAAAGTTATGAAAACGGTGATCTATAGAGGAGTTTGCAAAGATTGTTTCCCTGGGATTTTTAAAACTACAGATCGCAAACTTTTTATTTGTATATAAACATTTATTTTTTACATCATGGTAAATGTTTGCTAAACGAAATTTATGTAGTTAAGTGTACGTAGATCAGCTGAATAGAAGTAAACGAATATAACGTTTGTGAATAACATGTTTCAGGACATTGCCAGAAGAACTGATATATAGGATGCCGAAACTTTCATAATCTATAAACAAAGGAATGATACTATTATTTATTTTAATTTATGTAGGGTACGTGTTCCATGTAGGGTATGTGTTCCAGTTACGGAGACTTTAATCCAGTTCGCGCAATCATATACTAATTGAAAAGCACTACTGCATGAATGTCATATTCTTAAAATCGATATCCGTTATTAAACAATTCCATTTTGTAAAAAAACTTTTTAAGCAAAACAAATTAAATTTTCATGGTGTATTTAATGAAATAGAAGCAGATGTTTTTGTCTGTATTATGGACTTCCAGTTGCGGCAGATGTATTTTGGTGCCCCAATTTCGGAGTCTGTCTACATTTCGGTATCTCTTATTATGGCGTCTTTAATAAATGTCGCTCCCTAATCTAGCTTTTGTGAAATATGACGATTTTGTTTTAAATGTTGTTGTCTCGCGGTAAATAATTTAATAAAAATAAAATACATTATTTGGCTGATAACACATAGCACACGTTTCACTTTTGGAGCTTGGAATGAACGTGAGATTATGGCAAATAGCTGCGCTTGGGGGCTTCCTATTAAGGGCAAGCGTGAAAATCTCACGATATTAGAGAATTTACTCAAAAATAAAAATAAAATAGTTTGTATATGTTAAATTCATTTATTTATTACTAGACTTGACGGTTTTAAGATACATATGTATAATATGTATTTCGTACGAAGTCAGCGTTTATAACCAATTTGTATGAAATATTTCAGTAAGAATTTCTTAAGGTTTTAAATAAAAATTTCTGTCAAAATCATTGAAATAGTAATGTGCATTTTTGATAAATATTTATATCATTGAAACGTACTGAAATTATTTTTAATCTTATTTATTAATAATTACAATTAATTTATAAAATTTTGTTTATGTTTATTGACGTGTAATTTTGAATGAGGAAACTAATACAAACGCTCCGTAATTGATACATTTACCCTATGTGAGTGTAGTAACATATAATTAATTATTAATTTATAATAGAATAGTTATGAAACTTCTAAATTCAAAAAATTTGTATTAATGATATGAAGTATGTGCAGCATGTAGGTAACCCTTTGTTGCCTCTTTCTTCCAATTTTAGACAGAATGCATTTTTAAACTTTTATAAGTAACGTTAGTAAAAAATAACAATAAACTTTACCTACTACTACAACTTTTTTACAGAAAAATGATATAATATCACAAACAGTAAACAGGCATAATAAAAAACAGTAATTACCAAGGATAGGAAATGTATTCAATAATTCTTTTAATTACAACATTTATTTCTCATAACGATAATTTATTATTATTGAATTTAGTATTCGTTTGACATCATAGAAGAATTTATGCGGTATATTTGCAACAGTAATTAATATTATCAATATTTGCATAGCAACAAAGAATTAATATTATCCAAGAAAATAACCAAATGTGAAATAGAATAACTATGCTTAATATGAAATATCTAATTATAAAAACTTTATTTAAAAACATAAAGATAAAATTTAAATGCCTTGAAATTATAATAAAACATGAAAATAGTCGAAAGTTACAAATAGTAGTATAGAACACTTAGGAAACTTTTAAAGTAAACTTAATTTTTATTGTAAAAAATGAATATTCATTTAAATAAGAAAGACAAATAAATCAATGTCTTCCACTTTTTTTATTTGTAACTATCTTTTCATTCAATTTGTAGAAAGTACGATTATATTACGAAACGTACGAATTAATAGAAAGTAGTAGAAACCGCTTTTAATAATTAATAGAAAGTCTTAATCAGAAAGATAAATATCATCTTTTGCTTTTTTTTTTCATAAAAATATTATATGTGTAATCTTCATATTTGGTACTTTCCTCTAATGTTACATAGTCGAAAATTCTACATTTTATCAGATAAAAAAGATAATAAAGTTATTACTTTAAAATAAAATGTAAATAATATTAAAATAGAATGTACTCTATTTTCCTGTAATATTACTTACTCCGAAATCTTATATTTTATCAAATGCAAAAGATAATAAAATAATAAAATACTCCATTCTCCTCTAATATTACATACTTAAAAATTCTATACAATATTATCAAATACAAAAGATGAACAAAGTATACTATACTTTCTGAAAACACAAAAGCAATTCCCAAAATATTTCATTAACACACGAAACAGTAACTTGTGAAAATGTGTTATGAACATAAATGATTATAATTATTAAATGAAAATATAAGTGGCTTACGCTGGTAAAACTCTCCAACGAAGGGCTCGAAAATTTTCCAAAAGTAAACGTAAATCCTTTTTGAGATCTTAAAATCAAGAGTATTAGGAGTCGATTTTCACTCGGACGCAAATCATACCAGGCAGACTCATATGCCGTATCACCAATCAATTTACTCTAAAAAAGAAAACAAATTTTTTCTCGACACTCCAAATATGTATTGGAAAATCATACTAACCGGAATTCACTTTACACACTTTTCACAGAAAAATCGGTTTAATAAAATGAAGAAAAAAGTATATTTAGGTTAATCTGGTTAGTCAGGTGTATACCATATTTTTCTATAAATATAAATGCAGTTTTGTGCATCATCAGTTTATCTAGCTGTTGTGAATCGGGGAAAAAAGAAAAACACGAAGAGAAAACGGAGTAAAAAAAATTTATAGAAAGACATAAAAAAAGTTATACAGGGAGGTTCACAACTAGTGTGAGGAATTGTCCCGGAAGGGGGTTGTATATGTAAACATCTTAATGTTCGTTCATTTCATTTATTTTTATATTTTATTTTTTCTTCCTTTTTATAATATTTTTATATATTATTTTATTGTTAATAAATTGTTTTGGACCCTAAAAGATTTCTTGCATCTAATCCCTTTTATACACGACGAATCTATGTCTATTATAAAGGACCGAGTCTGACGAAGGTGCAGAAGATGTATCTGTACCTAAATATCCACGAATTGTTTATATGTAAAACTTTGACCAACGAGAATAATTAAATTATTCGTAATTATATGGTTATCAATCTTTCAGATTTTGGAAAAGAATGAAATATACAAATACAAGTATACAAATTATGTTTGAGAAGGATTGAGTTATATTTGTGTGCGCCATTGAACGCGGGCAATCAACAACACAAGAAACGCTGAGTGAACGAATAAGTGAATTACCTTGATACTGAGATATTCTCCAGCGAAACAATATATGAATGCTTCTAAGCAAATAGCAATGTAGAACAGAACGGATTTGATCAGTAGAGCAGGTCCATTCGCGGTGTGTATCGACTGTAACATGAATTTTATATAAATTATGACAGGGAAGTAACGTAATTATCTTCATATTGTAAATTATATTTTGAAAACACTAAACGGGTTAATTCAAACGTTTTATTATCATTTCTTTGTCAGTTTAAATTACATTCGTGTGAATACTTCTTTTCTGTTATTTCGATATTATATTATTTAACAGACATTTTGAATTTATATTACTCATAGACCTTTCTTACAGTTTTTAATTCTCAACAACATTTCTTATTATCAATTTCTTTTTTAAGAAGTGTGAGTTTGGATAAAAAATACAAATTTTCAATTTTAAAATATCTTGTGCTGAAACAGTGATAGATTTTTATATTGTATTTTATATAAGATGATTCTATGCCCTCTCCCAAATAAAATAATATTGTAATTAACATGTTGTAAACATTTAAATATTCTATTTAATATTTAACCTTGGATTAAATAAATCTAATTAGGTCAGTGAACGTATACATATATCGACGATTATACACATAATGTGTACATCTTGTATGAAAGTAATCATGTACATATTCAGTTAAAGGTACAAAAAGTTGAAGAAGTTATAATTTTGTTTTATATAAAAACTCGGTTCTCGAGCAATTACAATTTTCTAGAATTTTTTTCATTTTGAAGTCAGCTGAATTTTAACTTTGCAGTGATTAAAATATATTTTGTAAATAGTAAAAAACAACAGAAGTTATGAAGCGATTTCAAATTGCTCTTGGCGACCTCATGTGGGAAAACTAAGAAACTTTGCACAAATATAAACCATCCTTATCTCTCTTATATTGCTTCGTACAGAAGAGACAATGATAATAACTACGACAGTATAAAAATATTTGTTATTCAATAATTTTGAGACGAACAAAGTTATACTTTCTCATATTTCTTCTCAAAAATACTCTCTGTTTAAATGCACATTGCGATGCAAAGCTCAATTTTTCAATTTAAATTTAAAAATTTTATAAACTCGATGATTGTTATTTTATAAAACAAGAAGGTACATAAAAGTGTCTTCCTTATAAAATTTTAAAAGTCAAATTAATTTTTGTCATAATCAGATTTTCTGTTAAACATGCAAATTTGTTAACAAACTGATAAACACCTGCAATAATTCGTGTGTTTAAAGTGTTCTATTTCATTTAAACGTTCTTTAAACATATTCAAATGTTTATAATATATTATCAATTTACATTACTGTTTCGGTAAAGTTCATAGAATAATTTGACGCAAAGCACAATCAAATAACTATTACTATTCCTTTTGTAAACTATATTGCATAAAAACTAAATCCATTGGCGAAAAACAATCTTTATCTTTTAATGCATACAAATTTATAGGAAACGTCTATCAAGTTTATAAAATAGTATAATTAAAGAAATAATAACACTTAGCACTTAGTTCAATATGGAACTTACAATAAAATGTATCAAACAAAGTTCGAAAAAATCGTACATCTTTTTCACGTAGCATATGATTCTGGAATAAAAAATATGTGTTCATGATAGAAAAAACGCAAGGTGACCTTGAAATAACCTCGAAGACACCCGTGCATTAAAAAATTAGTAATGCAATTTGACTCCCACTTGAAATATTAAAAGAAACCTGTTAAATTGTTTTTTAAATCACACATCTTCGAGATTTTTGACAATGTCAACTTAAATGGGACACCGTCTACATGTAAACATAACAAATATAATTATAAACGGATATTACCATTACAATAAGATATCCCACGCAACAAGTAATCAGAGTGTTCGACACAAGTTGACTAAGAGCCATATAAGTAAAAAGTTTCTCAATTTTGTCTACGAACAGAATAATTTCTTTGTGCCTATTAATAAAGAAGTTTAATTGTTCTTTGGTTCTGAGAGGATCATCCGTTATCGCCTGACACATCACATCAACATGACAGCCCACGTGCATGATCTATGAACAACCAATTAGATTTTTAAATAATTGCAATATTAATAAGAAATTAAAAATTAACAATAAATATAAGATTATATCTATTAGAGTAGCTGAAACAAATTTTTTCTGTTCGCTGTCGCCCTCTGAAAAGTTAACATATGTTGTAAAAAAATCATCTAAAAATTTGAGATCGCTCAAAGTTCGCGGTCATTAAAAAATTTAAAGAGGTCGCTCAAAGCAGTTTACTACCGACATAAGTAAGGATTTGTGCTACCTTGTGTACTTTTAGGGAGTTAAGAAGGAAAAAAGAATATGAGCCAGCCTAATATCTACATATCTGTAAGATTACATTTCTATAAGATTACATGTATATGTCTACAAGATTATATTTCTTTTAAGAGCTTTCATTTTCTTTTTAAACAAGAACCACGATGGGAAATGGACCCATACAATATTCATACCCACCACCATTACGAGAAGAGCACTGAACACACCAAACGTAAGAGCGGATGTAACCAAATGAAGAAATTGTGCGGATAGGACGAGTTCGTAAGTGGGTGATTCGCTGGTATCAAAAGGCAAATCCATCTGAAGAAGAAGCCGCCTTGTTGAATTGTTATTGGTGTCCTGTGTCAATGTACCCGTCAGATAGAAAACTGCCGACACTACGTAACTGGACATAACCATGATTGTAAAATACACAGAAAGACTTGCAGTTTTTGGTATCAGATTATTTGTATCGATGACTGCGTACTTCTTGCAATCTTCCTCTACTGTTGATAAAATGTCACGGAGTACACTTGAAACAATAAATAAGTTAAGTATTATTTTCCTAATATTTTTTACGAGTCACAATAAGAAAGTAAAAAATATAGTAATAGGAAAACGAGATTTTTCTGAATTGAATTAAATAGAATATTTTATCTTTAAAAGAAAAAAATAGAAAAATCTATTGAGGTTTTTTCTAAATTGAATTAAATGGAGTATTATATTATATGACATATTTGCCACTCACCCATGATTTGTCCAAACAACGATCAATTTAATACACACAAGACTGAAGGGCATAGCGATACTCAAATTGTCTATCATGTCCAAAAGACTGTCAGTTTTAAAATGTTGTATAATGTATTTATACTGATAAGTTTGAAAAAACACCATAGCTATTACCCAACAAACTTTATGCAACCCTGGTAATGGTGTTCCTGGCCAAATGCCAACAAAGTGGAGGCCATACCTAACTGATGGGCTAAGTGTGGTCGATAATTTCATTTGGTACAAAATACTTTGTTTAACAAAATTGTGTTACATATAAATTATCCTATCGATTCCTTCGCCCCTGTCACAGAACGACGTATTTGTACAATATCTTGTCATAGACTAAACTTCGCGGAACAATTGTCCCTAATGCAAGACCAGATACGGCAAATAATATTGTACAATAATCGTAAGCTTGCTTGGAATAAAAATACTCGAAGAAAGTACTGTTGCAAATTCGAGGATCAATGGACGAAGTGCATTAAAAATATATGGATACACGTACGACACGCGAATGCATAATAAATTACTGGAATGATAGGTTAGGGAAGATTTCGAAGTTTGAAGAGTGCAGGAAAAATTGTTCCACAAATGTGTGGTTCGTGAAGGGAGAATATAATGTTGGGTTAAAAAAAGTACATTTCTTACATTGCCAGAGTGCTAACAATTTGCACTGAAGGTACAATAAAATTATAAGAACGTTGGTTGCATATTTGAAAAGTTTCATTGTGATTTTAATAGGTTTAAGGATCTTAAAAATTATTTCGAGTAGTTGTACATTGTGGCAAGATTAATATAAAATCAGAGTAAATTAAAATTGTAGCTAGTGAAATTAAAAATTGACTAATTATGTAAAAGGTAAAGAATTTTTTAATTGATATTTATGGTAAATTTTTACGCTTCATTTTTTAATTCTGAAATCAATCACCATTCGACATTCAAATTTTAAAACAAAAGATAATATAATAGTGGAAAAATAATATCTAAAAAAACAGTATAATTTTGAGAATAAAAATGATTGTTAGTTTATTACTAACTCACATAAATTAATTAAACAACAATTGATGTCTCAAAAAAATCTTACAAGAAAATAATTATTTTAAGGATATTAAAGGAAGGTTCTGAAATTAAACAAATGCATGCTTCTAAAAATATTTGTATTTTTTTAGGAAAAGTGATGGAAAATTTAAAAAGTGAATCACTGCTTGTTGTATTTTATTTACACTATTATCAAGTCTATTCACATTTGTGTTACGTTCATCGTTACGACTATAAAAGTAGTTTCTTCTTCGCACCTTACTCCATTGCATACAGTACCGAAACGTATGAAGCCGAAGTTTTTAACATCTATAAAACAAAATGTAGTGTTTAACAACAGATCAAATCTGAAGCTGCCTCTACACTGTAATGTTCGTAAAAACTAGCGTGGATGCGGCATTATGTGTGAAAGAAAAATTTTAAATCTACATTTAAAAAAGAAAAGTGTTTCACCTTCAAAATAATGAAATTTTTTTTAAAAATATGAAAGTTACAGCGTGATATGTATAAAAATTAAGGTGACATGCCACGTTAAGCCGTTGCCACACTTAGTACTTCTAATGTGTAAGATTGCAATTAATATATGTATGTGTAACCTCTTTTTCCTTTTTATTATCTTCTTATATTATTTTGAAAAGTTTTAAATATCTTGATTTTTTATATTATCGCTGCTGATACAATAAACGTTATTGTTTAACATAATTTGCATCTTGTATATCTTTACATTTGAATATTATGCATTTACAGTTGAATTCTCAGATTTTAACATTAAGAGAACTATGTAAATACAACATTTATCACATTGTATTGCTTGAGTAATCTAAACAACATATTTGTTTATATTTTTGAATATATTGTTTATATGTTAGTTATTACATTCGTTATTTGTTTGGATTAAAATGGCGATAGTCTTTGAAGTAATCTTCCAAATTAACATGTTATAAAAACAAAGTTATCAAGATAAACACGTGACATGCCACCTTAAGCCGCTTCCACGCTTGACACTCCTGCATTTTCGACACAACATTCTTTTAAATATTATTTTCCACGTTTCCTTTTTATCATTCTATAAAATATATTAATACTCATGTTTCAATTAAAATAAGATGGTACCTAAATTTGAAAAAAATAATCAAAGTATAGTAAATTGTTATTGAGTCAAATGATACTAACTTCAATTGAGAATTGTTATATATTAAATTTTAATAAATAATTCTAAAGAAAAATAAAAATAAAAATTAAAAAGATATTTTTAATATCTTATATAAAGGAGATATTCTTACGTTAGCAAAAGTCTCTAATGAAAGGTTAATATATTTTCCAATTGTTAGTGTCATAGGCCTTTGAGAACGTAATATTAACAGCAAAAGAGCGCGGCATTCACGAATGCTTAATTGATACCAATTAGAGTTGTACGCCGCCCAGCTGATGCTTTTACTCTACGAAAAAGACCAATCAATAATAAACATAAAAAATTCTTTTTGTAAATAATAAAATTTCTATCTTACTTTCGTGGTGAGATATTCGCCCGTGTAACAGAGTATAAGCGCCTCCAAATGAATGACGACGAAATAAGGAAAACATTTTGATATGATTATTGCTGCTTCGTCAGTGTTTAATGACTAAAACAAATGATGTACAAATATGATCGTTGATGGTATTAAACGACATAAACAAAAATTAAATTACTCACAGTTACTAGAATGAAGCTCAGAAAACAAATGACCACGGTATTAAGGAAAAATTGTATCAGTGATATGAATGTTAACACATAATCGACATTATTACACAAATCTAAAATCCTCTGATGTTTTAAAATGATTTTTTTTATAATGCCAACACGTGATTTTTCTTCGTTGTTGTCGTTTAATATTTGCGTTAATCTTTCGCATATAATGTCGACTTGACTGACTAAATGAAGTACCTAAAATCAGCAAAACATAATTTCAAAATTGAATAATAGGATTAAAGATATGATATACACTTTAAAATATTTCAAATTGTCCATATAAATAGAAATTGAATGTTGTGCAAACTGAAATATTGTTTTAAAGGTATGCACGATAATTGAGCGTCTGACTTCTGGACGCCATTTGTTACAAACAGCTGATCAATTATAAGTATTTCCGCTCACTGACGCCATCTTGTGCGCAACAAATGTCTGTGTGAATGACACTTTGCTTCAAAAAATGACGTTAGAATAATCTACTGAGATGTTATGGCGCAAACAACAATATCTGTACGAGGAATTAGCTTTTTAATATTATACAAAATAATTAATGTGAGTGGCAACGATTTAAGGAGAAATTACGTCACAAATCAGTTTTTTTGCCCAGAATTATATATTCAACTACAAACTGATAAATGTCCTTTCGAGATTTTCTAATATGGCGCACCTGTTTATTTAAGACAAATCAATCAACAACAGCGGCTTAAGGCCGTATATCACGTCTCACACCGGTTTCTTTACTCAAGATTACAAATTAAAAATGAATAACCATCTCCTTGGCGTTTTCTAATGTAACACACCTGTTTATTAACTATTTGAAAGCAATTCAATTACCATGACAACGGCTTAAGGCCGCATATCTCAAACCACTTTTTTTCCTACAACTGTAAATTACAATCTAATAACAACATTTTTGCCTTCTTTTAACATGAAAAATTTGCAATGTTCACGACATAAAATTAACATAATCCCAGAAAATAAAAATTAACTCACAAACGTTGCATTAAGTGTCATTAACATTCCTGCCATCACAGCAAATGTTGCTTGGGCAATGATTTGAACAATTACAATAACTTCGTAAATAGGCGAAATTGTCGCTTCGAATGGAAATTCCATTCTCAATACAAATTTCCTTTCATTGGGATTCGATGTTCCATCGTCATTATCAGAACCGAAAAATACACCCAATGTGTATAGAATTGAACTGCTTAAGAACGATACAAGCATAATCCTCGTAATACGATACGACAACGTAGCTTTATCTATCATAGCTTCCAGATTCCATTCGGATTTACAATTAGTCCAATCTTCCGCCATTATTGCCAAAATTTCCGAAACAACTCTGCGTAAAACAATGTCCACGGTCATATGCTATAGTTTTCGTGCACTTATAATCTGTGAAGAGGACATTAAACTCGAATCAGTATCTGCTTTCAATTATCATCGTTTCATTGTTAATAGTAATCATATCTTGCATACTTTTCTATTTCCACGATACCTTACCTTAATTATTTCGAGAAATGAAATAAGTCTATTTGTTAGTAAGTTGTGCATTACAAATTGCATAATATTGAATTTTACAGTAGTATTTCTGAGTTTGTGATAATTTTTAATTGATAATGACAAGCTAATCGAGATTAAATTTTAGTTTTCTAGATCAAGTGAATATCAAGTTGATGCTGACATACATAATTTGTAGCGTGAGCACAAAATCACTCAAAGAGGGATTCCGATGTCGGGGTGTTTCCGAAACTTGAGTCTACTCTTCTAGCAATGGTGGAGAGGCATTGTAGAGCATACACCAAAGCATTTAACAGAAATTGACGCGAAGTTGAAACTAACACTAAAGGACACAAATAGCCCAGTAATAATTCTCTCAGTCGCACATCTCCAAAGGAGGGCGAAGACGATTGGAGATCAACGTGAACGCGATTCAATTCAACACGACTGGAATTAGCCCAATTCAAATCGACACGATTCAGTCCATTTTAATAGAACCTGATCCGAATCAATGCGACTCAAATCACCACGATTCACCGCGATGTGATTTGTTGTAATTTAAATTGATGTCTTTCGACTTGGCATGATTCAATTCGTCAAGATTATATTTGACGCGATTCTATTTAACTCGATTTAATTTATTTAATGTATTATTTGATATAATTCAATTGAGAAACATAAAAATTGTTAATAATGTATACAACTAATATTTCTTTGCTCTGCATAGAAACTTAAAATTGAAAGAATTATATTGCGCTTACATAGAAATTACAAAAATTGTTTCACACTTATGTGGTACATAGAACATTGCGCATAAAAAAAGAAACAATGTTGAGTAAAACATGTAGATCAAAAGGTTAACAGTTTCTGATATACAAATACTCTTGTACAACCGCAGTGCGATTGACACACTAGCTTCTATTATCGCGTGCGATGTTACCTCGGTGTTTATAAACTGCATTCTGAATGTCCTTATTCAATTTCCATACATACTTCATGACAAAAGATTTCATCAGCAATCAGTCAGTTGTCGGTAACCGGTGATTGTGGATCTATTTAGTATTACACAGTTGCAAAGCACCGTGCTGAAAATGTCAGCGTATTACTGTAATAAAGAAATGGCAGAGCATTTTATGTGTGATCGTGCTAATGGGAGTGCTTTAGCTGCACGACGCCTTTGCACGGAAAAGTTTCCTAATCGAGAGGTCTCTCTCACACGCTGTTTCGATTTCTTTACCAACACCCTTTCGAATCAGGCGCTTCTGAAACTTGCTATTGAAACTCTGATAAACCTAGATCTGTATTGACTGCTAATAGGGAGAATCGCATTTTAATAATTGTAGAAGAAAATCCCGGAACAAACGTAAAAAGAATATCCGATACCGTAAGAATTGGTATTATTCTTGTTCGGAGATGTTTCATGAGCAGTTACTTTATTCATATTCAACGAATGCGAGCACTTACTCCACCGGATTGTCAAGCAAGAATAAAATTTTCACAATAGCTACTCGTAAAATATGCTTCGAATCCGAATTTCGTATCCAGCATTTTGTTAACTGGTAAAGCTGTATTAATGCAGAACGAATTTACAAATTTTCATAATGATCTCGTATGGACAGAAGAGGATCCTCGCGTATTTATTCAAACGAATCACCAAAACCATTTTTCGTTAAATGTTTGAACGGGTATTATGGAAGATTATTTCATTGACTTTGTAATACTCCCAAATCGGCTTTCCGGTGCTGCTTATTTCACTTCCTTGGTAAATACATTATTTCAGTACTTAAACGACATACTTTTTGGAGAAGAATTATCGATGTGGTACATGAGATGGCCCGACCTTATTTTATTTGTAATGCGATAAAGCACTTGAAAACAGTGTTCGGTCAAAGGTGAATTGGATGTGGTGAACCAGTTGAATGGCCCTCTTGACCCTACGATTCAAACCCTTTGGACTTCTTTTGATGGGAGTATTTGAAAAATAAAGTATATTTCGCCAATAAATAGCTTAGAAGACTTACATAAGCTAATCGTGTTTGTCAAACAGTTCAATAGAGATATGGAATTTTCGGCAGTTTGCGGCATTTGCAAGAAAATACTAAACCTTGTATGGAAAGGGAAGGATAACATGTGAAACATCTTTTATAATTATTGAAAATGCTATGCGAAAATAATTTTATCTCGAAAACAATTAACTTACCATTAATTACCATTAATTAAAACCTTTTAACTACGTATTATAGTGTATCGTATGTATCCTATAAGCATTATACCGTTTTTATGAACAATCTGTACAGAAATTATATAACTATACCATTTTATTCTCATTATTGTCGTCATAAATTAAGATACTGAATCATATGAATAGTCATTCTAAAGTGTAACAACCCTTTTTTATTACAACGTAATAAACACTCCAAGAGAAGTGACGTTTATGACACTATAAAATAAACAGTGATCTTATGCTATAATAACGACTACAATAAAATGTTTTATAAACTCTGATATTACAGATATCATATTTTATTATACTTTTAACAAGCTTAGTCAGTTTTTCTAGAGAATTAAAATTTAATCCTAATTACGTTTTCATTGCTACTAATGAATATTGTATTATATTAACTAATGAATATTTATAACAATTCCATGTCTATGAAAGTGGATATTATGCAATTTGAAGTATCACGACCTTAATACATTAATTACGACGAATTTATTAATATGGATCAAATACGCCCTACATCTTTTTGATAGCAAACAAGTTAATCAAGTGCATACAAAATTTATATATAAAATAACATAAAATTAAATGACATGCACAAAACAAAAATAGTAAAGAATGTAGAAAATATTTATCTGATGATGTGAATAATGATGAAAATTTTAATAACATATAAATATAAATTGGTATAATTTCAACGAAAGTAATTCAAGAAGAAATGAAAGTGTATATCTTACCGCCTGCGAGACCAAATAATAAGAAATTTCACAAGAAGAAGAGTATTCGAACAAGTAATGCATAAGCCGTCTAACAAATCCGTTAAGGAATCTGTTTTAATATGATTAATGCAGTACCAATATTGAAATATCAGGATCGTAGACATTATTACTGACCAAACGATGTATTTCAAAATCCGATAGGAAGAAGTTGGCCATGCACCAATCAGACGTAGGCTGATCTCAACCGGGTGACTGATGATACTTTTTGGCGTCATTAATGGTTCTTTCTAATCCTGCAGGACCACTTAAAAGGTTTAGTAATCCTTATAGGAAGCAAAATTTTGTTAAATTTAATATTTATGAAATTTCATAAAAATGTATAAAATTTAATATATTTTTGAATTACAAAAGATATAAATATAAGGTACACACATTAAAAAGGAATAATCTTATTTATATATATAAGTGTTTCATAATAATCGACTGATTTATAAAATGGTAAAAGATAAAATTGGGCCACATAAAATCATTCAAAAAAAATAATAACGTTTATTATATATTGTATTTTATTCAAACTAATTGTAAAATATAACTCTAAATTTGTAAAAAAAAATTAGGTAAAATAAAATGGCGTTGAACGAAATATTTAACGTAGATGTCAATATCAAAGGTACAGACATTTCAATCAATAATTATTGATTACAAAATAGTGCAATATTTCAAAAATTGATTTTATTGTTACTTTGAATGTTCTAATATTTTTTACACAGAATATTTCAAAGAATTGATATACATAAAAAATAGACAGTTTCGTTAAAGAAATTAAATCACATTTGCTTTTCGAGAATTGTGGCAAATTAGAAAATATACACACTATTGGCTACAAAAATCAATACAACTTTTTCTTTCTTAATCTATTCCGTATAATTAATATTTATCAGAATATGCTTCATTAATATTTGAGGTTATAAATAAATTGTCTTAGTTACAGAGTTATTATAGATTACTAATAATAACATCTGTACTAAACACCATTGTAATTTAGTATAAATATTAAAATTGTTTAGTATAAATATAAAATCAGTATAAATATTATTTATTATTTATTTTTGTTCCTAACATAATTATTAAACTACGTTGTATTAATCATACATTAATCAGGGTAAAATTATGCATCGGCTCTAATAGATCTATTACCATTGCTCCATAGTTACATTTTTCAATTTAAAGTCACAACAAATATTAGAAATATTATTCCAATTAATTAAGATTACAAACGGTCGTTTTCACTGTATGAACATGTTAATTTACGAGCCAACTTACGCTTAAGTCTCTTTAGTTGTAATGAATCATGCTCGAACGACCACCGCGCACTGAACACCATTTTGCTGGAAATAGAAACTGAACTAAAACGTTCTTTCGAATTGCTTATCGATCGAATACAATTATCTGCACTGCATCATAAAAATTCTAATGCTCATACAATCTGTGGTAATCTTAGCAATTACATTGCTAACGAAAAAAAAATCGAAAAAGAAGAAACGAAGGTAACATTGTAGACTTCCCTAGAAATGTATTACGTACCATTTACATTAAAAATGCAAATTGGTAGGTTGCAACGAAAGTGCACGTTCATTTGCTCCCTTCGGAAAGACGCTTTTTCAAACTGACAAGAAGTCTTGTGTATAATTAAGGAAACAACTAGCACAACTTCTTGCGTCCATCATTGTAAGGGCGCAATACTGCTCCATTTCAAGACTTCCCTTCGAACAGTAATATAGATCACCATGATTCTATTCTTCCACGAAACAGTTGTTGCAATTTTACTTTATAAAACTATGAATAATTTTCATTAGAGTTCTGTCATGTGATTAATGTCTGTACAGTGGAAACTTTATTTTGTGGCTGTCGACGAAATTTTGGAATGTTGATAATTCGAAACTAGTGTGATTAAGGTACAATGGATCTGAATTAATTTAAATAAAGATAATATTTTTAATATAGATTCAAGTGCTAAATATTTACTGATCATATGAAACATTCTTCTACAAAAGTGTGATCATTCTTTGTTACTAAACGTGTACGAAAATCTCATATTACAGTTGAGAAAATATTAAAATTAGACATGTTAATTATACAGCACGAATAATTAAAAGCAAGTTGAGTAACTTAAATAAAAGTTTGCTTATAATTTTGAATTATGTTTCTTAAATCTTCAAGTTGCTTATCAGGTGTGTAGTCCTAATTACTAGAACTTCTTTTAACCTACCCTTCTAGTCCACCCTTGAAATAACGCAAAAGCACACCCCATTTCATTTAACACCCCATATATCGAAAATCACTTGTAAATCGTTTAGCCTGAATATAATTTAATTTTATGCTACTAATGTACAGTGGTTTGTCCATCTTGATCCATCTCATTGTCTACCTGTCCACCTCTCACAAGTTGAGAGGTCAATCGACGGAGCTTAGCAAACTCTATCGGTAAAACGGTGCCAAGGGATAAGCCTGAGGTTGTTCGTCCACGAAGCGTCATACACGCGTCATCCAAAACAATGGACGTCCGTTCACGTAATTGTGAGAGACATAAAGAGAAAGAGAGAGAGGTAACAAAAGAAAAGGAAAGGTATAGTATACGCTACGTGTACGCGTCTATCATATGGTGCTTCGTGGACGACCAACCTGACAAACTAAACTCTGACGTCAATAGCGTGAATATAACTATAACAACAGCGGAATTGGAAATTTAAAATAAAAGTTTCGAATAAAATGAAGACACTTGAGCATCAAGAATAATTTCTTCTTTAAATGAAAATTTATTCATAGATTTTATAATAAAAGTTTTTGAAGAGAAAAGATTTTATTTGCACTAGAAATTACGTGTGTTATTTTAGAACTTTGAATTGCTCGTTATTTTAATTATTCGAATAAATTTTCATGCGACATTTATTCCTTCATAAATATCTTTTTATTCGAAATTTGAAGCGCGAGATTGTTTGAAGTAATGCCAGGTCTGAATAGAAATGGAAACAGCAAGAAGAGATATAAATAAACATTGGTAAAATATGAGTATAACTAAAAAAAATGATTTAGACAAAATTTTAACAAATAATGTAATAACGTAGATAAAATAAATACTTATAAAGAATTCGAAATGTTTCTGCATTTAAAGCGGTTGAAAATAATGGATACAAAAAAGCAAAGAAAAGCATATTGCCGAAAAGAGAACGGGAAGTTGGGAACAAAGAAACTTCAAAGAAAAAAAAATATACGAAAAAAGCTGGGAATTGAGAGATTTCAAAAGGAAAAGAAAAGCGTTTGGAAAAATATTGAGGACGTAAGACAAATGGCAAACAAAGCGAAATAGAGAGACAAAAGAAATCGTTTGGGATAAACCAGACGAAATATAAACCATTTAGAAAAAAAAATAGTTTGCAAAAGAAAGATGTTTTTAGAGAAAATACATATATATGAGTAGAAATATTTTGTAAAAAATTTATAAAAAGCTTTCTCAAAAGCAACGTATTCATCACATATAATTGTGATAAGAAGCTTAAGAAAAAGAAATGAAGTTAAATATTTAAAAATGGCGGATTTAACGGGTGCAACAAGTTAAAACAAGTTATAATATAAGTAAACGATTATTAATAAATCTCTTTCAATTTATCCTGCTTTTCAACGTTGAAAGTAAAAGTTAATGGACCATGTTTATAACGATCGCAATTCTCAATAGCAGCAATAACCGTTCTATATTAAAAAAAAAATGAATATTGAAAAGTGTTCCAGAAAAACTAAGAAAAATTTCAAATCTAATCCGTTGAACTTGCGAATTGAATAAGGTAACGTACGTGAGACGCAACCACTATGAATGTAGTATTAAATTATTGGCACGTGATAAGGATTGATAAATCGCCAATCAATAGTTGAGACTGCAGTTATTTAGAGCTTCCTATTGATAAAACGAACGCAGGAGATTACCACTACAAAGCATTTTTATTAAAAATAACAATAAATATATTTACTGAAAAGGTGCAACATTAAACATCATAGAAATAACAGAAATATCATTCATTTATTATTTAGTATTGTTACATAAACTTCAGTTACAATACACATACAAAAATCTTAAATTTCAAATCACATTCTTATAAATTTATAAGTTATATTATTAATTCATGTATATTACATTTATAAACTTTTTCGATTTAGTAAAGATGTATAAAAAATACATGTTTTTTAAAAATAGACTTTCTCATCGTATTAAATTTCTCACTCAATTGAATGAATGAGATAACAAATAATGTAAATTAAATTGTGGCAGTGAACGCAATTAATTATTATCAATAATTAAGTTGCGTGTTTTATTTCCGTAAAAAAAATAATTTACACTTTCTATGTTTATTTGCTTAAGGAAGAATCATTTTTATATATTTTAAATTAAATAGGTAATTTAATAAATAAATTTTACAGGTAATTTTCAAATGTATACCTTCAGCCATGTTATTTAAAATTTGTGTCCTTCCTTTTTATTAATTATGCGATAATATTATGTTTGAAACTGGGTCACTGATGACCCACAGCAAATTATGAACAAATAGTTATTTTCAAATTATTTTCAATACTGTTAAAAATTTACACTTTTAATATTTTATTATAGCACAAAAAAATCTAAACACCTTGTTTCTCAGTTCCATGATTCTAATTAAATAATCTGGTATATTGGAAAGTATAAAAATAGACTTTACAAGTTATAGATTTCGTTACTGTACTTTTCACATTTTAGTTTCAATTCAGTTATTTATTGTAAAAAAATATAGTTTGCTATCAGATCATGCAAACTTTAACAATTGACTATACGATTGTAATTTACATTCCATTGTATGCTGGACCACCTCCACCTTCTGGAACAACCCAGTTAATGTTCTGACTTGGGTCCTTAATGTCACAAGTTTTGCAATGAATACAATTTTGAGCGTTGATTTGTAGTCTCTCGCCATCTCCAGATTCTAGTGGTACAAATTCATATACACCTGGAAAAGAAGCAGTAAATGTGGATTGAAAACAAGGAATTATTATGCAAGCAAACGCTTGCAAGACATTATAGTGTATTTGATCGTTATCTCTCTAAAAATAACTTTCCACTGCCTGGCTACGTTTTTTACCTTGTAATATTTTACTGATTACTATTTATGTTTTTAGCTTGCAATATATTATAGCAAGGTTAATAAACTTTTGCAAGAATGAAATTGAAAAATTATTAATGAACATAGTATTAGGACTTCGAAAGTTTGGGTTTTCAGTAATTTGGAAAATTGGGTCATAAGACACTTAAGTATGTACAATTTTTTTAAATCATAAATTTGAAAATATAAAAGATTTCGAGTTACATATATGATCCCTCAAAATTGAATGCTTAGGAATGTTATACCCGAATGTACGCTACATTATTGTCTCATTTTTAACAAAATTCTAGATCGATTTGAATTGAAAAAAAAATACACTAAGTTTCGTTTCGAAGGTCAAATCCCTACCCTGAGCCAGACAGTCGATAAACTGTCCCCCACCAGAATCCAGACGTTCGAGTCGAGTTATCCTGTAGGAATACAACTCCCTATCAGACTCCTCCCTCTTTCCCCGACGACGAGTCTGAGGGAGCGAAAAGCTCGCTTCATAGCGGAAGAAAAATAATATTGAGAATGACAAGGGAAACATTTATATTTCCGTTACTTTAGCACCCTAATAATTTTATTTAAAAGCAATATCGCGTGCTTGATGATAAATTCCTTTGTTTGACATTATTGAATTCCACTTCCTTTATTCTGTCATCAAATATTTGTTACTCATTATAAACCAAAATTTAAATGTTAGAATAAAACTGTTAACTAAACCTTACATATTTAGTATTAAAATAGTTTCCAATTTTCGGGAATATTAATAAAAGCTTTACTGTATAATATATTCGTATCAAATTTATAGATTAAAAATTCAAAAGTCCATTTGCTTAAATAGTATAATAAAATGGTAAAGTGGTTGAACAGCAGTGAAGTGATTGAGAACAATAGTATAATATTATAATAATGTAGTGATATAATTAGGTAATAATATTATAATAATAACATAGTGAAATAATAAAATAGTAGAGTAGTAAGATGGTAAAGTAGTAAACTAATAAAATGGTAACACAATATATTGGAAAGTGACAGAAACCAGAATAGTAAAACGGTAGTACGATAATAAAACAGTACAATGAGTAAAGTAGAAGTGAAATAATAAACGACAGTAGTATCATATAATAGCAGTATATTAGTATGGTCATATGTATAGTAGAATTAGTGAATTAGTAAAATATTAAAACAGTGATATAGTAGCTTAATAATGAAATGGAAAAGTAGAACTATAGTCTGATCGATTACTGAATTAATAAGATAACAAAATAGCATAACAGTAAACCATGAAAATAATAATAAAATGTTTGCAAGTATAAGAGTGAAGTTCATCCTTCTAAAAGAATGTTCAATATATACACATAGTACGATTAAATACATATAATAGACTGGTTAGTATGCACACTTGCTAGCGGAAGTGTTGGTTTAAACCGATGCATTTTCGTCTGAGCAGGTGTGGAAATACGCTTCTATTAATAAAAGTTTCAAGTTTCATTGCTTGCGAATACATTTACTGTAACATATACGTATCGAAGTCAATGTCTGCGTTTCTAGGCACGAACAAAATGGTATTCTATGGTAGGGTTGTTGGCCGCAGCACTTTGAATTCGAGAAGCGAGCTTGGTTGAGGGTAGTCTAGCCGTGAGGGGTGCTCGGATGGCCCAAGTTCAAGGACACATCGCTCGATAAACCCAGACGAAACTCAGAGTGGGAGGAAAGAGAGATGAAAGATTGGAAACGGAAGAAAAAGAAGAGAGAAAACGTGGAGGGGAGGAGATTCTTATGAAAACGTAAATGCATAAGCACGTTTAAAACGTTGAGAATTATAACAATTGATTCTGCACTGCAGAATTGGAAAGAATTGATTTTCATAGAAAACAAATAAACAAAACTACGTAGCTGAAAAAATATATTCAAAATTTTCAAGTGAAATTTAAAATTTCTAATTTTTTCAATATCCAAATCATCAAATCCCCGAATTCCCCAATTTCTGTGCACAATAAATACGAAAGTTACACTTCTAAAGTATGTATTGATCATACACATAATTTTAAAACATTCTGCATATATTTTAGACATATTTAACTAACTAATTAATTAATGACATATGTAAGTATTAAACATACCTGCCGGACAAAATCGTCCCTCCGGCCCAGCAAATACTGCTAAATTTCTCTTCACTGGTATAGTATCGTCAGCCAAAGTAAGATGAGGAGGCTGATTACCTTCATGATTTGTGCCAGTAAGAGCCACGGAAGATAACAAATCAAAAGATATTTCATTATCCGGTTTTGGATACTCAATTGGTGTGCATTCAGAAGCTGGTTTCAGTCTTTTGGAATCAGGGCCTGATAAATTACCATTGCCATTAAATAAATCTTTCATAATATTTAATTAATAAGTTGTATTTACCTCCATGGGACAAAGTCCATGGTTCTCTTCCACCAATTAACATTGAAAATCCAGAGTATAATAAACCACCGTAAAGACCAAGACTCGTGTGAAAACTTGGTCTCATATTTCTCACAGCTTTTAATTCCTTATAAATCCAACTATTTTTTATTTTGTCAGTGTAAGTTTTTGGTTCTAAACCCTTTGTTGCTGACGGGTTAGCTTCTGCGTCTATTATAGCTTCGATCACACTTTCCGCTGCAAGCATTCCGCTTTTCATAGCGTTATGTGTTCCTTTAATTTTAGGAACATTAAGAAATCCTGCTGTACAACCAATAAGGCAACCACCAGGAAACTGGAGTTTGGGAATAGATTGGAAACCTCCTTCCACTAAAGCTCGTGCTCCGTATGAAATTCTAAAATAGCAATTAGAGAGATGATTGACTTCCATTATTGAGAAGTAAAATTGCTGATATTAAAATTTACCTCTTTCCTCTTTCAAGTATGGACCTGATACTTGGATGCTGTTTGAATCTTTGGAATTCTTTAAACGGATGTAAGTAAGGATTAGTATAATCTAAGCCAACAACAAAACCAATGGCAATAAGAGGTGTATCCTCATTCAGATGATATAAAAAGGAACCACCGTAGGTATCTTTTTTCAATGGCCAGCCAACAGTATGTTCAATAGTTCCAGGTTCATGTTTCTCTGGTTTAATTTCCCAGATCTATTAACAGTGTTTTTTATCTCATATTTATCACGCAAATTGTATACGCATAATTTTATATTAATTACCTCTTTCAATCCTATACCATAAGTTTGAGGTTCACAATCCTTTCTAAGATTTAACTTCTTTGTAACTTGTTTTGTAAGGTGACCATGACAACCTTCTGCAAAAATTGTACATTTTGCATGCAATTCCATTCCACGTTCAAAGTTATCCTTAGGAGAACCATCTTTAGCAATACCAACATCGTTTGTGGCTATTCCTTTAACAGATCCATCTTCGTGGTAAAGTATTTCTGAAGCGGCATAACCAGGATATAACTCTACTCCAGCAGCTTCTGCTTGTTCCCCAAGCCAAGCTACGACATGACCTAATCTGCAAAAAGGAATATTTAATTATGCAAACAAAAGTGTGTACAATTAATTAGCTTCTAATATATTACCTGACTATATAGTTCCCATGATTATACATTGGCATTCCTTTAAGAATAGGTATTGATATCCTGCCTTTCTCAGTGAGAAGTGCAAATTTGTCTTTTGTCACAGGAGTATTTAATGGTGCACCCAATTCTTTCCAATTTGGAAACAATTCGTTTAAAGCGATTGGGTCTATACAAGCTCCACTAAGAATATGTCCTCCAATAGTTGCAGCTTTCTCAACAACCGTAACTCTAAGCTCTTTTCCATGTTTCTCTGCTAATCTACGCGCCTGAATTGCAGCACTTAATCCAGCTGGACCAGCTCCCACAATTAAAATATCAGTTTCATCTACATATCTTTCCATGTTTATGTCTGTAACATAAGTTTAATTTTTTATATAAATGAAATTAATGAATATATTAACTCAATTTGTTAATATATTTATACATAGTTTTTATACTTGCAAATTACGTACCTTTCCATCGTGGATCTGTTTCCCTGGGAACAACAGTGTAATGTGTTGTGATTTTTGGGAACTTTTCTTGTGAATAGGCTCTTTGAAAAATCCATTTGAATGTCTGTACTATCAAGAAACATGATTAAAGGAAAATATTAGTATTTGAAATACAATTTCATGCAATTCATAATTAACATAAAGCCTTCTCATATATAACAACATTTTGAAGTGTATAGTATTTCACATAAATATTAAATAATTGTAAATATAAATGTAACTTATACATGACGTGTGCATACAGTGAATAATGATTCAAAGACACCAATAAACAAATGAATCTAACCTGACAACACAATTCTTACAAAATTGTCTAACCAAAGCAGTACAATTCTACTTGCATTTTCAGATGTTTTGCTTCAAAATCTGTTGCATATCACAAGTCGATAATTAGTCTTCCAAATAAAGTTTATTTATATCTATACGTCACGCATGTATTGTATTGAGAGAGTAAAGTTCATTTACGCACAAAGGTGATGTTGCAATTGATATCTTAATATAATATATAGTCATTACAAAATCGAAATTTATGAAAGTATTTTTTAATTTTGGAAATGTTCAATAAACTCTCAGTTTTTAAGTAAAATGTAGATTAAAAATAAGCAAACACAAATCATAACATTTATTTAAATTATTTAATTAATAAAGCAATATAAACTTTTAATACATAACATATTCTAATCTGTTACAAATTATAAAAAGCATTTTGCAGTTCATTCGATGAAAATGTCAATATTATTATTAAATTATTTATTTATTTAATATTTCTTTAACCACCATTTATTATTATATTAAAGACTTCTAATCATTTTTAACAAACCATAGTAAAATATTATCAACGAACTTACGACTGCTTGACGTATTAAATATCACTCGAGCCATAGTTGCACCTTGCACATCACAGTGTTTGAACTATGATCTCGATATTATCCATCTATATTATAGCAATAGTGACCAGCTGTAGCTGCAAGTGTATTCCAAAATGATCCGTCAAAATTGAGATCATTACTGTGTCCTCTTTTTATCAATTAGAAAAAAAGGATTATCTCACTGTTAAATACGCTATTGCCATCTACTGAAAATTGTCTGTACTGTATTGTAATAGAAACATTTTTTACCGAGTAAAGAATACATTTTCTTACATATTAATTAATTAAATATGCACATTCGAATAAATCTTCTTTGACTATGGAAATTGGGTGTCTCGAGGTGTAAGCATTTTCGGGATTCGTAATTAATGATAGTAATAATAATTAACTGTAATGATAGTAACAATGATCGTTCAGGAAAATGATTCTAGGAGATCCATTAGCAAATTACTTTATTTCTGTTTAAAATTAATGAAACTTTGTTATTCAACTTTATATTTTAATTTATATTTATCAACAGAAATACCGCGGCAATTTACTATGTGAAGAATGTATAGAAAACAAATTGTTTACTGCAGAGTAATTAATTCAAATACTTCAAAGTATTATGTAAGACGAACTCTTATTAATAATTTAAAATTTATAATTTCGTGTGTACTATCTGAAAAAATACTGCTATCGCCATTTAGCGGCCAAGCGAGGAACTGTCAACCTAATTGCGTTTTTCCAGTTAAGTAAAGTATGTTTCGTTAACAGTATTCAATAAAACCACATGTTCATCCTGTCTGTCAGAGAGATGGCGCCACTTGTTCCATTTTTGTGGCGACATCTACTTCCGGCGTAAAAGCGCAGCGGAGAGTGCATTTCCGTACGTAGTCACATTCTCTCGTGAAACGCTCAGGCGACGTGACGTGTTTTATAATTATTGAGTTTTACGTAAACCTTGCGATTTTCATAGTAGTGCGCGGAGTATATATACGAACTATTTAACCCGCACAGTTTTGTTGTAATTAGTTGTTGTTAAATATATCTGTAAAATATGGTTATCCAGTTTGAATTCAGTGGACTTATTTACCCCTTTTCTCACGTCGGTAAAGTAGAGTTTCCTATTTACTGAAGCAGAACTCTACATTTTCGTAAAAAATTTAATTAATACTGATTTTATTGATTAATATGCTATATATTTATTATATATTTATTTTTATTGATTTTATATTGTTTTCAATATATTTCGTGGGTCCCAAAATGCGGATTGTACGTTCAGAACAATTCGCACACTATATTCGTCGATAATATAGGGAATGACATAAGAATAGAAAAAATTTTCTTTCGAATCGCCAAAAATCATTTTCACAGATGTCTTCTTTTGCAAAAAAGAGTTTATCTGGAAGATTTGGTCGATATCAGAGCACGACGGTTTCCCGAAGTCCCGCCGAAATGTATTACCTTATGAATAATTGGAATAAGTGACATGCTTCAAATAGCTATATTAAATGGCTTCAGAATATTTTACATACTTAGAAAAGTCGGAAACAATAAATAAGAAGAATAATTATTTTTAAAATTTAGTTTCATTAGTTTATATTAATTGCCGTTTTCAGGCAGTTCACGTGAAAATATAAATTTTAAATATATGTAAAAATGAGACTTTCAAGATGCTTTTAATTTTTTTAATTAATTATTTTACAATAATGTTTTTTATTTCTTTTTTACATATAAAACCGTCGAGGTACTTCCATTATAAATATAGAATTTAATAGTAGAAAATGTTCGCTTATATTCTGGTATAGTTCCTGGTATCATCTTTTGTGAAACATGAAGTATTTGATGGTAATAAAAAACATTTTATGACCATTTTATCGTTCGCAATCAGTATAAGTTACATTAAAATTCAATATTACATATACAGATAGATAACAATTTTGTAAACTGCTTTTTATCTACAGATATAATAAAAAGCTGAGAAAAAATGCATTTACTTGAAATTAACAAAGTGACATCCCAATTTTATTTATATACAATATTATACATATATCGTACAGATCCATACATTTTTATGTTACTCGAGTAAAAAATTATCGATGCCGAAAACAGACAAGTTATTTGAGTAATCATTATTTAACGACTTTAAATTCAGACTTATTGATACTAAAAATAAATATTTAAAATAAGATTAGTTGACTTTCGCGAAAATCAAACTCGGTAACAGATTTGGTAAATAATGTAACTACGTTCAAGCACCATCTATAAATGTTAGTAGAAAGTAAATTTGTACACGTTGTCGCGCAATCGTGGTATTTGACACGTCAAATTTCGTATGTTTCGTACATACGTACGTTACAATGTGAATATTTTTTACGGTTATTTTTATTGTATTTATTAACTGTAGTAAACTCTTTCAAAGTGCAAAAATTAAACACACGATCATAATGTACCCTACCGACGTTGGTACAACTTTAAGTGACGTAGGATTGCATTAAATTTTTTATTTTTACCCGTCGATTGAGGTTAGAAACATCTGGAATTCTTGTGCCATGTAACTGATTCAAATTAATTAAACATGCCGAAATTTCGAATGCTTCCGCGTACTTCGCGGATTGTAATATTATGTTCCGCTGCGAATTTTATAAATGCGGCGGATCGAGTTATAATGCCCATAGCAATTGTTCGAATGACTGATGAATTTAAATGGAATTTGCATTGGCAAGGTTGGATACTTTCTGCTTTTGCCTTTGGTTATTTTACTAGTCAGGTATAATGAATTATTCATATATTTGTAATTTTAATTATCTATTATTTATGCAGAGCTAATGAAGTAAATAGGTATTTGAAGGACTATTATGAATAAATACTTTGCAATACAGACTGATAATATGCAAAATAGTGTAAATAAAATATCCCTTAAAATAGCAGTTACTTAAAGATATTTATAAGTAGTATTTAGATAAATTTCAAATACATATTTAAAGAACAACTTACATATTAGGTTCAGTCATTTTCTTTATGAAACATGTCTTTCTGATATTTTTGGTCATTTGCTTTATCTTTAAGCTCATATTAGCTTATTATATAGTTCCTCTCATTATAAACAATCCTTTTCTACTTATTTGGTAATTTTTCAATTCTTTGGTGCACAAAACTTAATTAGTTGTATTGCAATCAAATTATTGCATATGTTTATCATTTATAAATTTGTTTCATTCAATTCATTTTGTAGTACATGAAACAGTAATGAATAATAATGTGGTAAATATGATAAACTTAAGTAATCAAGTTCCAAACTTTCGGGTTATATAAAGATTAATATATGGTCTGCTCAATTTCTTTCAGTAAATTCATGATGAACCTATATTCTCAAATTAATGAATCTTCAAATAATAGATTGGATTATATTTAACTTGTCTACTATTTTCCCCATTGAGTGCAACTAATTTAAATTGGCCAGTAGTAAAAAAGTAACCACTACGTTTAGAACACTATGTGTTTTCTATCTTTGATGCCTAAAAATGAAAAAAATAGTAAAGAATTTGTTTATAGCCTTCATTGGAATAAAAATAAGTTTTATTTATGCTAAATACAAGTGTAAACATTAAATAGTATTCAATCATAATATAGACAAGTATAATTGATATTTTCAATATATTTGCTTACATAATTCAATTTTTTACTACATTAGATCATTGGTGCAAATACAGCAAGTCGGTTTGGATGTAAAACGGTACTAATGTTAGCAGTTCTGTTATGGTCTATTAGTACAGTTATAACTCCAATCTTGGCTCAATCTGTTCCATTGCTCATAATCTGTAGAGTGGTTTTGGGACTTGGAGAAGGCCTAGGTAAAATATTACTTACAAAACAAATCATTTTGCAGCCCTATGCTCTTAGATGATTTGTAATTATGTTGCTTTTAGGTTTACCAGTTATTTTTCACCTGTTTGCACATAGTGTTCCTGTTGAGGAACGTTCTCGTGCATTTGGATATCTGGTAGCTGCTGGCTCTGTTGGACAAGTAGTTGCATCTATTGTAAGCTTTACATTTGTTTAGTAATATAATATTCATTTTAAAACTATTATTCGGCATCTTTTCTTAAACTGTACAAAACATTTACAGTTGTGCTCACATTTGTTATGGCAAACAGGATTTTATCTATTTGGAACAATTGGTATTGTATGGACACTTTTGTGGCTAGTACTATACCATGAAACTAATTCTCAGGATGAGATTCCATTATTTGTACCTAAGGTATTCATTGTTTTAAAATTACTGTTAGACACAAATTTAGTCTTTGGAAACAAAATAATATTTTTTTTCTATAGGTAACGCAAAACAGGAGTTTGCGTTGGACTGAATTTATTTCGCATTGGCCTTTATGGGCACTGTACATAGCACATTTTGCAATGAATTGGAGCAATTACATAATAATGCAATGGTTGCCAACTTATTTGGCAAGAAATCTTTCTGCTAATAAAGAAAGTATTAGTTTGACAGCACTTCCATATATTGTGAACTCTCTTGTTGGTATTGGTACATATCATTCAACTAATTAACAAAAAATATGATCAAACGATTCTTAAAACGATAAATAAAATAGTTTATCATTACTGTAGTTGCTGGACACAGTGCTGACAATCTTATACAAAGGAGATGGTCCGTTTTATCTGTGAGAAGGTTAATGACAAACATAGGTCTAGTGGGTCCTGGTGCATTTCTATTAGCATTCTGTGCCGTGGATAATTTACTTGCTGCAGTAATGTTAGCATCAACTAATTAATCTTTAAAAAATGAATATTTTTATATTATACAATTTATGTTATACTTTTTTTTTTTGCAGCTTTGTTTCAATATCTATGGGACTTTGTGCGTGTAATTCGGCCGGCCATCTCAGCAATCATGCTGATATTGCACCAAATCATGCAGGAATCACATTTGCAGTTTCTAATACTATTGTATGTTTCAATTTTTCGAATTTTAACAAGTTAATATTGTGGAGATGATAAAATAATTGTTTTTTTTTTAGGCTACTATACCGGGCATTTTATGTGGTCCATTGACGGCAGAATTAGTTACCGCATCCCATGGTCGTTGGATGCCTGTCTTTGTTTTAGCTGCAGCAATTAATTTTACGGGGGCTATCATATACCAAAGTCACAGTTCTGCGCTTCCAGTGTTGTGACATGTTGTGATTGAAAGTGAGCTTGCAACTGATTATCAACGAAATCAACGAAGTAGCATGATGAATAAAAACTTGCTACGACCATGTACCTTCGATCGTGTTTATTATACACGATTTCTCAAGAAAATTTTAATCCTCTGTAAGGCACCAATATGGCACATTTATACGTCACACATTGGTTAGTTGAAGACATATCAAAATATATTGGACTTATGTACTGGAAAAAATTTAACATTCTTATCATTCAGTTTATAGTTATGTCAACTTAACATGAATCCCCTGTTATGTGGATAGTGCCATAATTTTGTGCGTACAGTGGAATTGGTTAAACAGTTTTATTACCGAGTGTAATATATAGCTTTCCTTTCAGTTTGTACATGTTTTAATGATAGTTTGTGAAAAATACTTTGTGATATGTTTGAATATGTAAACAAGATATTCTCATTCTTTTTAATAGAGAATAATTGTATATTCTGTATAACATCGATGGGCAGTTACGCCTGCGAGAGCGCGGTGCATTACCGTGCAAGTGAGGTCTACTTGTGGGACGCTGAGGATAGTCAATTTCTCAATTTGAAAATTTGAAGATTTGGTATTTCTATATTTCTAAATTTTTCAAACTATCAAATTTTTACATTTCAAAGTTCAATTATTTTTTATTTCTAAATTTTTAAATTACCAAATTTCAAATTATCAAATTACCAAATTTCTGAATTTGAAAATTTTAAACTTTTGTGGATTTCCATGCACGACGATGCCCGTCAGCTTTTCGGCGGGCACTTAAACTGCCCATCACTGCTGTATAACATAAGACTGTATATAAAAGAAAGAAAGAAATTTAACTTTCACACACGTACTACGATTAAATGTCTTCGAAGCACCTGCAATATAAAAAAATATTATTTACAAGTAAGTAAACAATATATATTATAATAAATGAGAAAGATATGTTTTTTATATCGTTTTAAGTCTTTACATTTCCTTTTACCTTCAGTACCAAAATGCACGTACAAAATTCAGTTTTAAATTTTATATTTGAATTTTATTCATTTTTATTGTGCATAATTTTACATAGGTTTCAATGACATATCTTTTTTCAAATATTCTGACCGAAGTATACGCGACAATGCATCTTGGGGTAGATTATTGTTCAAAGCGCTCAACCCCATTTCGATGAAAGCATTGTTATTACAATTAGATTTGCTACTTGTTTGAACCGAAGTGTTAGCATTTAACATATATCTCATCGAATCTTCCTTTAATGATGAATTTTTTGCAACTGTGTTTTCATTTGCTGTCAATTTTTCAATTTTCTCATTCACGGCCGATCTTGCAGAAGTTCCTGTATTTTTCTTTCTTTTTATATTTCGAAGAGGAGAATCTTCATCTTCATCATGAGAATCTGCGATATCATACATATCGAAAGATTGAATATTTAATTTCTTTAACATCTTCTCTACTTCATCCTGGGATGTATTAAACTCTTTGATATTCGACTCTTGTTGGTTCACAAAATTTTTTTCTGTGTCACTAATGTAATTCTCCAAATATTGCTGGATATCCGAACCCATCTTTCTTAAACTCTTTTGATCAGTCGCATTAATCTTTTGTTTGTTAAAATTTGATTTATTACTACTGTTTCGCTTGCTTGAAAGAAGAGACCTACTTCTGGATAGTTTGTTCGTAAATATTTCTTTTGATGGCATTTCACCCTGTATGGTGTTTCTTGTTTCGTTAATCGTTTTCTTATTATCTTTGGGGAATAGCATGTCTTTAATTTGTCCAGCTTTCTTTTCAAATGATATTTCAGGAGCATCCAATGTCTTAGCCGCTCCTCGCTGCAAATAGTGATTTGATTTTGGGTCTAAATAGGAGGTTTGGATCTTATCTATTTCTCGTGTCATCTTCTCCAAGGTATCGTATAATTTTCTGGTTCGAGGGTTCGCCAAATATTTACTTTGCATCCATTCGTTGTTGGATCGTAATATTTGCCAATCCGACTTCACTTTTTCCACCTCACGATCGATTTCGCTAACCGGGTTAAGTTTTCCTGAAAAATGAAAATCTTATTATGATTATGTAGAACAAAAACTTACAATGATTGTGTAGACTTTAAGATATTCTATCGCAAATTTAAGAAGAAATTATTTGCAAAACTAGTTTTCAATTATTTTGTTAACATAAATATTCAATATTGAATATACTATATTTTTTATCATTAAGTATAATTGTTTTGATAATTCAAAATTCGTGTCAACTTGTGTAACATTTGCAGTATACTTCTATTTCTGACGCCATATTAGTTTTTTGATTTCATTCGAGTTGCATTCTTTTTCAAATATTTATAATAGTACAGAAATCTTTAGATCTGATTTTAGATTTTATCTTTAAACATTTAGATCGTGACTGGTACTGTTAATGTAATTTATTGTTCACATTTGTGTAGCTATGTTTGTTCCAACCGTTGGAACACGGTACGTGAGAATTCTGCTTGGAGAGTTTATGATAGGTCCGCGACAAAGGCTATTTTTGAGAAAGACTTTTTCCTTACTTCCTGCAATACTCATTTACCTTTTTTCGTACAATAGCGTTAAATTTTTAGTTTCGTTTCGTCCTCGATAGCCAATTCCTGTCATAAATTCGGTAATTCTTAAGGGTCATTTCGACGGTACATTCGTTACGGTACTTTGTGGCCATCGGGCCTGAGACCCAGAGGAAAAACCCCAGAAAAACCCCCGGCGTTGCCGGACTTGCAGATTTCTCACGTACGCTCTGGTACCGTCCCACCCTCCTAAAGAAACGCGCTAAGGGCGTAACGGAAGGGTGGGAGAAAGTCAAGGGACACGTTGATTGGAAAATCAAAAATCGAATGATGACCAATCAGCGTGTTTCCAAAACTTTCGCCAGGGCTCCTTAGCTCGCGCGATCGAGAGCTAAGGACAGAATGCATCGTACGACAGAACCTATCTATCAGTCGAACCGAACATATCTAACATTCGTACAGAACATCTCGCACATTCGAAGAGAACATCATTTTCAATAAGTCAACGTTACGGACTTAACCATTTTCCGGAGTCAATCGTTCGGACTCACTTTGAATCACTGCTCGAAAGTTAATTCCGCAGAGCAGCGCGTCGCGAAGGATCGTAGCCAAACGAGTCACGAGATTTACGACCTCGTGGCACGGAGTTAAAAAATCCGTGCGATCAGTTCGCGACGCGAGTAACCTCGTACGAGCGGTTACAATGTTTATTTAATTAAGAACATAGGTGGATAATTACTGTTGAGATTTTTTACCTCGATCTTTGACCAACCGCTGATCGGACATTCCTTCCGGTCCTTTTATACGAGGTAGATTGGTGTTTTTATTGTTAGATGTTATACTTTTTTGCTTTCCTAAATTATCTAACGTAGTGTCATTGCGAGAATGCAACTTTGGCAGTGCAGCTGCAAGGGATTCATTGTTACCATTTTTATTGCTCGTGGATCTTATAGGTGAATCTGAAAACACATGAAATTATAAATACTCTGTTAGAATGCGTTTTTAAATTATGTTATACATTTTCATTTGTACCTCCTTGACCGATATTAGAAATATATTGCGCCCCCTTTTTTTTGGTCGCATCATTGGACGTCGACGTGGACTTCGCAAGAGGATTAAACTCGTATACGAAATTATGAGTTGCTGAAATTCTTTTTGCGACTTTGCTGACTTTCTTCGTGCTTTCTGTAAACTATCGATGTTTTATAAATAATTTTAAATAGAAAAATTACTCGAAGAAAAATAAGTTCTTGTTATAGAGAGAATTAACGCTATAAATTCAAATTATTTATTTTGCTTATATTTCCACGTATTCTATGCTATGCATGTTTCTATGCTAAAATAATCTTTTAATTTTTATTTTACAGTGGTGATTTTTGGAATTATTAATTTTGTATTTCTTTACGTTTTATCTAATTTCGTAATAAATAATAGTGCCTATTAAACTAAAATTTGTTTCAGTATCTATAAACATAGTAGCATAGAAACTTATCATTTTTCTTCATTTAGTCACTGATATTTAATCAAATAAATCGGCATCGGTGGTTTTATTGGTAATAACATTGTTTCTAATAACAGAGCTTAATATAGTTTTAATGTGAGAATAGAAACACACAGAAAGCAATATAATTAAAATTATTTTCAGGATGATAATATAACAGTACAAATATTTAGCGAGTTATGATATTTTTGTTTTTTGATATGGTTTTAATATCAAATGTCTAACTTTGTTTAACCTCCATTCGGAAATCTTCTTTTCACTAATATTCCAGTCTTTCTGCGATTTTTCGCGTCTTAAACGACTTTTTGATTTACAATGAAGATCCACCTCCGCAATAGCTTGATTATCACTCGACGAAGATTTTGAAGATTCTTTTTTATCGACTTTAACCAACCTTGATCTACGAAATTCAATAACTTAAGGTTACGAAGTTATGTATTTGATACTCTTTGTGTTTCATTATTTATACGTAAAGAATAATTTTTTTTCCTTTGGTGTATTCGCAATTTTAATATTTGCATATAAGGTGAATAAGGGGTAAGTTCGTAAACGGGGCAATTGCGTATACAGGTTATTTTTATTACAATATGAGCGAAATTTCTGTATTTAGTATGTTTGTTTCCTTGTTTTGTTTCACTATATCTCCTTTTATATCTCAGCTAAGAGTACTTGTTTGCAGTATAGAGTACTTGCATAATGCAGTAAAAAGCATTTTATAGCAGATTTGTTAATAATTCTGCTCTTGCGCCATTGCACATGAAATAAAGTTTCAAAGTATTTAATTTCAAGTTACGCTCTTACCCCATTTTCGGGGGAAGTCCAGAGTAGTTGACATTTTAAACAATTTCCTATCAAAATCAAAATGTACAAGGAAAATTAAGGTCCTAGTTAATATTAATTAAATAGTAGTAATTGTGCAAAGCGTTCGATATCGACAGCGTTAAGTATTTACATAGAACAGACTGAAAACACCTACGTTTAAATATCAACTTTACAAAAACCAGTCTGCACATATCACACTTCACCTTATTTTAATCCATTCACTGCCAATTACGAGATATTTCGTAGTATCTTTTTTTTATTACATTAAATTCATTTTAGAACTATATCTGCAAATACTATCATATTTTGTGAAAAATATTCTCAAAATAAAATCATGGTGTCCTCTAAATTTGACTAGCAGCGAAGGAATTAACGAGTTAAAGGAATAAATTAAATTTTACTTGTTGTAAATATTGACTTGAATGTATTCCTTGATGATTTGTTCTGGTTTTACGAAATGCTGAAAGTCGAACACGATCTTTTCTCCTTTCTTAGAAAAAATTGGTCCTGAACGTACGCGCTTTTTTTTGGTCGAGCTCCAAATCGATTTGGCCCAACTTTTGTAACTATTAAAACATATTATTATGTCTGAATCATCTTTTATCTTAGCAATCTTTCCTAATTTCTTTTAGTAATTTGTATTTTGAATTATTCTATGTAATTTATACTTTGAATTATTATATATAATGTACATACATGTTGTTCGCAGTTTTTATAATTTTCTATTATTTTGTTACTTGCATTTAAATTTCTAAATTTAGAAATTACAAATTTTTTATATTTAACATTTAGAATTTCAAATTTTTGTATAAAGAAACAGAAATATATAAACATTAAGCTTTGAGTTGTTCAACTTAGAAATTTGTGATTTTAGGAATTCGGAAACTTCGAAATTTGAAAGTTTAGAAATATAGAGATTCAGTAATTTCAAATTTTCAAATACATAACTTTATAAATGTAAAATCTTCAAATATTCAAATTCTCAAATTTAGAAATGTTAGAATTAAAAATTTTTAAATTTAGTTATTTAGGAACTTTAAATTTTCTACCTCCGAAATTTCAAATTTTCTAATCGAGAAACTCAGAAATATAGGAACTGTACATTATTGATTTCTTAAATTTTGGAATTTGAAAACTTAAAATCGCGAAAACTTGGAAATTTAGAAATTTCAATTTCCATACTGAAATATTGACTATCCATCAATGCCTATGAGCGCCATTTCATTATACGTATTATTTTGCTCCGATAATTTTAGTTTCTATTATCTTACTATACCTATTGCATCGAGACGACGTGCCTATATTTTTTAATTTCTCAGTCTTATGTGAATACTCCTTGTTCTGTACACGTTGCTCTATGCCTGCAATAAACACGGACAATCCATTCAGGCGTTTGATTTCTTCGCGATTGTGTACCTTCGATATTTCCGGATACAACGACAAAAATGTCGGCGCGTTATGTGGTTTATTACAACTTGGAAATCCTTCGAAGATATTCGCCAGCTCCGGAAATCGTTATTTTTTAATGGAACTTTGTCCTGTGTCCATAACCTTGTGCGAAATATTTGATCGAAAGTTACGTTTGTCAAAAACAAAATAAAATAATATCACCCTAGTATACTTAGATCGATTATAATTTCTACAAGGTAGACTAACAAATTCATACTTGTTTCAATGCTTTTACACATTATTAATCATACAATAAATTATTACGAACCATTATTAATATTATTACTATCTGAAACTGTTTTAAATGTACATTTGTTTGGAATATTTTTATGGATTACAAATATTGTATCGTTATACATTTGAGTGAAAGCTTGGCTTCCCTAGGGACAATAGTTTATTGTAAACTAGTTAATTTAAATAATTGAAAATATTTTGGAAGCTTCACTCTTACATGTATTTGAAAATTTATATTTTCGCGCGTACTGTCGGAAAACAGAACATGCGCCTTGTAAGTTAAATACAGAACTATCGAATCAAGAAATTGCTTTTTTTTTTAAAATAAGACATTTCTACGTTTTGTTGACAATCGCAAATTATTCTATGAGCGCAATTAAGTTAAATAGATTCCTTCACAACGAGTTCGAAGCTTTACATTTGAAAACTTTTTGAATTTTAATTCATTAGAAAAGATCGTGTGTTCGGTGTGTGCTCATTAGCTGAATACAACAATGTACATATTTGACAATATGCTAAGCGAAAGCTGAGAAATTAGGAAATTCAAATAGTACACTTATCATTAGATGGAAATGTTTTGCTGCAGGAAACAAGTGATGATTTTTATTTCTTTGATGTTTTGCAAGATATGTACTGCTGAAGGAAAAATATCTTTTACTTTACTTTATTGGTACTCTTACAAAAAAGAGGGCGCTTGACTAGGTTTTTCCCCTCATTTTGCCAGCACAAAATTATCTTAGTTCAGTTTTCGATACGGAAGATGGCGTTTAAGACCCGCTGATCTTATTTGACACCACAAAATTATCTCTTACACGAAAAAGGGGGGTGAGGAGATTGCAAGCCATTGAGTTCGTGCCGGTGCAGATGAGAAGGCAGCATGGCCAGAGTAAATAGTTGAAATTTTCTTTCAAAGTTCCGTAGCAGCATAAAGAACTGCTCACTTGACGAATCATGTAAAAGAACTCGCCTAGATTATTATGGTTCGAGCGAACACGGCAAATCTAAGATGTGATGGCTTTGGTAAGTTTTTGGCTGTGAATCATGGTTTTCTTTTTTTGTGATAGTACGTCTAAAAATACTTTATACCAGTCGGTGTGGGATGACTTGTACTTTCCTTTGTTCTTCCAAGTTGAGTCTGTTTTATTCCATATTTATTTAATTAAATTTGTGTACAGGTCTTGAGGAGAGAGCTACTAGTAAGGGTGATGAACTTCAATGTCATTTTTGATCAGCTTATCAACTCCTCCATTATCAGCTAGGCCTTTATGGCCTGGCATTCAGATGAACTTGGGTTTAGGAAGAAGAGATGAGGTCTCTTTTTGGATATCTATTCACCATATCTGATAGAAATTGAAGCGGAAAGGAAGGACAAAAAAGTAATAGCTGATAAGTTCTAGTCCTTCCCTGAAGATGTTAGAGATTGACTACTACAGAGTTGTTAGTAAAATAGAATCTCACATGCCTGCATGCCCTTTTCTCAAGGGGTAGAGAAAGCCTATAAAGGTTTTCTCCAATTAAAAAAAAAGTAAAAATGGAAGCATGAATGTTGATACTCTACATTTCTACCCTACCAAGCTTGGCATAGATCCAAACTGTTCCAATGAAGGTGCCTGTGGGTATTTTTGATCTCTCCATAAAAAATGGTATATATTTAGAGTATTTATTGGCTGGGATTTCTTGTAACTTTGAATTGATATTGTTTATTGGTTTCAGTGTGAGTTGCGAAATTGTGTCTCAGAATTGTGAGACAGAGGAGTAGTTGTATGATCTGTTCCAGCAATCTTTACTTTTATCAAGGAGAGGTCTCAAAGTTTTGCTGGATTATACAGATTAGGAGGTTGTTTTGGTGGTACATTCATGGCTTCAGATTGTTTATGCTGTTCAGGTAATTTTCAAAGTAACTATTGAGGAAATGATCAGAGTTTGCAAGTATTTTAATTATGCGCTTTTGCTCTAGATATTCAGCATGAAGAGCTAACGGTGGGATTTTGGCATCAGCAAATGTAACATTGATTCAAGTGGAATTTCTCAGGTCTATAGACAGTTTAGCTGTTGCTGTTTGAATTCTTTCCAGTTTTTGGAGGAGACGGTGTTGTTGAAGAAAAAAGATATATGAGCAGTACTCTATTTTAAACTAGACGAGGCTTTTGTAGATGATTAGAAGAGTGTTGGGGTAAGTTCCCCACGAGGTCCAACGAAGATACTTTGACATTGAGGATTTTGCGAGTATAGGCACACAGTTCATTAACATAGTGGTTGAAAGTTATTTTTCGGTCATGAATAATTTGCAGGAATTTTACTTTCTCCCGTTTTTGGAGCTGGTTAGTTGCGTTATTTTGAAAGAGGAGACTGATGGCATTTCAGAAATGTTATTTCTCCTACCTTAATTAATGCTGTACCAATAGGGTTATTTTTGTCATTGAATATTAATAGTTTAGTTTTGTGCGCTGAGATTCTTAGTGAAACGCATGTGGGGTAAATGATCACGAACGCGATTTTATTAATACTGTAGTTTATTATGCATTACATTTAACTATGTTAATTCTAAATCGGCTTACAACTATACTCAAACTACTCTTACGTATTAATTTACAAACAAGACAACCTAAGCCTATATTAGACAAAAAACGAAAAGTATGGTGACCGATTTGATGGCCAGCTAATCGCGACACAGTTGTGTGTATAGTTTGCTTCGGAATCTGTGGAATCTTCACTTCCAAGTAACATCGACCAATACGTGCGCGGAGATAAAATCACGCTTCGTTATGAATGTTCTTGCGCGTCTAGACATCTGGAATTTTCGACGGAGATCCGTTACACTAGTTCTATTGATTCTAAATTTTTTTTAACTGTGTTAATTAAGTTTTCGAGAGATGCAATCACCGTCTATATTTTCGTCTGTAGCACATATGACAATGTTATCTGCATTCATGCAGATGTGAATGTTGCAAGAGGTACTGCTCTCAATTTTGGTTAAATATAAGATAAAAAGTAGAGAGACGAGGATACCTCCTTTGAAACATTGATATTCATATGTGACAAGATATCACGAGGACTTCTACTAGAGAATAGATTGACTATGAAGTGTAATGGCTTACCGATCTAGTCTGGGCGATTCTTGTTTTGCAATAAATACAATGTATTATATAAAATGTAGCGTCCATTCACAAGGAATTTTAATTATTGTGAAAATAGTAACAGTTTGAAACGAGGAAAGTAAATTTTGTCAAAGTTAATCAGCTTTTAAATTATTTTTAGTAGGGCATGTATCTGAACAAAAATAACAAAATAATTAAAAGTTTTTCATTTAACATTGCATTTATGCTGAAATAGTGATGCAACATTTGCAATAATAGAACCAAATACTTTTCTCAATCATCATCAATATAAACCATTAAACCTATTATAAACGAAGGTGCAATTGTATTTATTGCAATTTTAAACTTTCAAATATCCATTTTTGCTATTAAATATATCCACATATCTTATAAAAGAGTAGTAAATCTGTCGATAGTAATTTTCTATTTATTTTGTTTATTTTGAAGTTCAGGGAAAATGGTTTTGAAAAATTTCTTTTTCTTTCGTAACATTTACGCATCATTGTCCACAATTTTAGAAACTTAAACTTTTCTTGGAGAAATTAAAGATGTCACATAATTACAAATATAAAGCTTTTGACTGAAGGTGTATCTAACTTCGAAGTACAGTCGGTGTGGAAAGTATTCGTACAGCGACCAATTTTAAATAAAATGTTGTGCGTAAACGTCAATTACAAATTTTAAGGGGAAAAAATGATGAATAAATATTCTTGGGTGTTTGTAGAAAAGATGTCGTGAAAACTAAATTTTATTTTCTTCAGGATTAACAAAAATATACAATAAGAACAATTGAATGTAAGAAATCGTCGCACAGAAAGTATTCGTACAGTTATGAATAATGAAAAATAAACTATAAAAGAACAATATATTTTTTATATTTTAATAATTTGTAGGATTGCCTTTGGATTTTATAATAGCATTGAGTCTTCTTGGCATGGAATTTACTAAATTGGATGTTACAGCCGGTTCTATTTTGTTCCACTCCTCTAACAAAGCGATTTTTAAACTTTCTTTTGACGAAATATTATGATTACGTATTTTTTTTTCGAGGTAATCCCATAGATGTTTTATGGGATTGATATCTGGCGATTGAGGTGGCGTTTGTAAATATTTTGGCGTGTTGTATAATACCCATTGCCTTGTATTATATGCAGAATGCTTTGGATCATTGTCGTGTGTGAATATAAAATTGTTTTTAAGACCCATTTTATTTGCACTAGCATGGAGATGTTCTTTTAAAATATCAATATAAACTGTGTGGTTCATAATACCGTCAATAAAATGTAGAGATCCCACTCCATTTGCACTCATACAACCCCAGACTAATACAGATCCTCCTCCATGTTTTATCGTCGGTTGCAAATTTTCTTTTTTGAACTGTGTATTTTTCTTCCATCACACTGTAAATCTTTTTTTAGAGTTAAATATTTCGAATTTGCTTTCGTCAGTAAAAATTACTTTATTCCAATATTCAATTGGAGTATTAATATGTTGTTTCGCGAATTCTAATCTTTTCTTACGGTTAGTTTCATTTACAAAATATTTTTTTCGTGCTATTCGACCATGATATTCACTACTTCTCAAATAGTCACGCACAGTACTAGCTGACACATCTATGCCAGTGTTGTTTTTAAGTTCCGTTGCAATTTGTACAGCAGTTATACGTGGGTTTTGTTTCACTTTACGAATAATTAGTCGTCGATCATACTCGTTTATCTTACGCGGACGCCCATTTCTCCTTTTATTTGATACAGTTTTTCGTTCTCCGAATCTATCAATTATGCTTTGAATGGTAGATCTTGCTCTATTCACTATGGAAGAAATTTCACTAAGTGATTTACATTGATTGTGTAATCGAATAATAATTTTTCGCTCTTCTTCCGTCGTTTCGCGACTTTTACGACCCATATTGGAGTATATTATAAACCAACTTATTTCTATTAGTGCTCTGTACAAACTAATAATTTTTGTTTTTATTCGCCACAATCCGAAGATCGTGTTATGTTTTACATTATTAGTTTATTTTTCATTATTCATAACTGTACGAATACTTTCTGTGCGATGATTTCTTACGTTCAATTGTTCTTATTGTATACCTGTATTTTTGTTAATCCTGAAGAAAATAAAATTTAGTTTTCACGAAATCTTTTCTACAAACACCCAAGAATATTTATTCATCATTTTTTCCCCTTAAAATTTGTAATTGACGTTTACGCACAACATTTTATTTAAAATTGGTCGCTGTACGAATACTTTCCACACCGACTGTAAGTCTAGTAAAACTCTGTCGAAGATTCCATGTCAATGAATACTGCAGCAGTTGTGCAGTGATCAAGTCTGTTAATTTGTACGAAATTTGTTAGGGCAAGTACGGTAACCTTGGTTGATCTTCCTTTGCGGAAATTAAATTTTGTTATCCCTTTGAATATCTACGATAGTTTGCAGAACATATTCTGTTTTTGGTGTTTTCTAGCAGGGAGGGGAATGTAGAGGCATTGAGAGTTTTGGTGCTCCTTGCTTATTAAGACTGACTTTTACTCTGGCATGGGAAAGTGCTTTATAGATGCTTCAGTATCTGCTGACATCACTATAGGCAAGAATTTTATTTACCCCCTTATTGATTTTCTTGACTGCATTTGAAGCAGATCGACGCCTTGTCAGTAATCCACTTTTTATCCCCAAATATCATCCGGACCAAGAAGGGTTCGATTTTGCGCGGTGCAAGTAGAAATGTGCACATGATAACTCGATGATGATGAAGTTTTAAAATGTTCTTTTGTAAGTTTTCCGGATGTCGATGCCTTAACCACTTCGGTACGGCGCCTATCGGCCACGAAACTTTGCCCACAGCCGGCACTCACCGTCCGCACGCTGCCTCGTTCATCGACAGATTTGTGACGAGATAAGCTTTGAAACACTGAAAGCTTGTTTTACATTACAGGCAGCATGTAATGTAAATCAAGAGATCGCATGTTTTTATTACGATATTTCTAAATGTTGACAATTTTATTTTGATAAATGAAAAATTAGAAAATTTAACTTAAAAGTATTGTTTTATTTTATTTATATTGTAAGTTTTTAAATATCAGAATAAATGTTATTGTTTAGTGTGATACATTTCCTGATGATCTAAAAGTACACTCTCCTCTCTGTAATTTTTCTGGCATTTTCGGCATACCTACATGTCGCTTTCTCACTGTCCCACATGCGTTTGTTGCAAAGCTGTGCAAATATTCGAACAGCGCAGGACTCGAATATCAGTTATCTACGAATAATTGATGGCCTTTTCCTAAATAAGGTTGCATCAATGTTACAATAATATTGCCAGTTTTACCCAATTTTGCAGAAAATGCTTGCACCTCGGATGTTGAGCCGGGAACTTGAAATAAGTTCTGTTTCTCTATCAGTACATGTTCTCGTAATAATGCCGGATGTCGATGCTATAACAAAAATATTCGTCGCCCTGAACATGGTCCGCTGTACTCGAGGTCCAAATACTCCAGAAGATTCTTTTAGTACGACAAAAAGAGGAGACAATAATTTTCCATTTGCAGAAACAGTAGGCTGTATCGTATAACTGTGTATTGTTGACGGAATTGATTGTACTACTGCTTCCACTGATTTCGTACCTTTAAGTGCTAACGTTCGTCCAGAGTGTAATTTGAAATTAAATCCACTTTGATCAGAGTTGTATAGATTATCAAAACCGTTTTCTTCGATATACAATTTGACCCGTTCCAAAAAGTTATGGGAATTTGAAATAAGTTCTGTTTCCCTATCACTATTTGTTCTTGTAATAAACTTGGTCACTTTCCGCGATACAATACCATAAGCTCTTTTAAATTTTAATAACCATGTACGGCTAGCAGTGAATGATGATAAGTCTTCTGTTAGTTTTCCCTGCATTGCCCATCGACGAATATCACTATCATGAATAATTATATTTGTTTGAACAGCTCGTATTATATTTTGATACGTATAGTCTGTGATACACAGTAATTTGTTAAAACGAGTACCACTCGCTTCAACTTAAGCAGCCCATCTACGCAATTTGTATCTGGATTGTACAGTTTCTAATTTCAGTCGTTTCACCTTACCGCTCATCCAATACTCCACAGCATTCCTTTTGTATTCGAAATTGGTTGGTGTTTCAGTGAGTGGACATTTTTCTGTATGTCTTTTGCTCCTGGTCGTAGTCCACAAGTTCTTCTCCCACTTCTTCCAACCATTCGACATCAATGTCGGTATCTTCATTGTTTATAAAATTTCCATCAATGTCTAAATACGTTTCTTCTTCCACGCTTATACTAACTAATGGTCCATCTAAACTCTGCAGAATTATGTTATACAAATTGTCTTTCAATTCTATTTCCGCACTGTTAATAGGTGTTTCTTTTTTATCAGCCGAATAAAAAGCTACTGATAATAGCGTGAGCACGTTTATCGGATTGATATAAACCATTGTGCCAAGACAATGTTACCTGTTTTAAATTAGGCTACTATTCCTTTCAAAGTAGTCCTCTCGGGCAGCTATGTACCGATCCCAGTGCCTCTGCCATTTTTGGAAAGCTTCCTGGAAATCTTGTTGAAGCGTGTCAAGTACCTGCTACGATTCGCGTTGGATCTCCTCCACCATGTAAAATCGGCGATCCTTGAGCTCCAATTTCATTTTGGGGAAGAAGTCACAGGGTGCCAAGTCGGGTGAATACAGAGGATGAGGAAGGACAAGCATGTTGTTCCGTGTACAAAACTCTTGTATTGTAAGAGCTCTGTGTGCTGGTGCGTTGTCGTCTTGGAACGTCCAATTTTTCTTTGTCCACAGTTGTGATCGTTTCCGACAAATGTCCTTCCTGAGACGTCTCAAGTAACCTCTGTAATTGTTGTCTTTGTTCGTTGTATATAGAAATTGATTCTCGAAATTCTAGCGAAAATGCCCGCTTGTATAATCTTATCCGTCTCATCGTTCTTCTTAAGACGAAATGTATCGGTCCGTTTCTGACAGGACCCTTTCCTGTTGGGGCAAGTTTCTTCTTAACCTCAGAAAGCCTCTCCGTAGTGTCGGTAGGAGATGTTGGTTTCTTATCAACATTATCTAACGTCATTTTGAATGATTTAGTTCTGTATATTCCGATATTTTTCTTTTATCCTTAAGGGTCAATTCCCAATGCCAAATTGTGTCAGTATTTAATTTTGATAATATTATGGACAACAGGATGCTGTTTCAAGATGCCACGTTTTCACCTAAATTTTTTAATGCACGAAGATGTTGAGTGATAAGGTCTATCAAATTGTTCAATGCCTCCGGTGTGTCTTTCGATAATTTTGGAAAGACGAGCAAGCTGCGGCAGCCACTGCGAAAGCAACTTGCGCATGACCAAATTTTCATGTTAAATTGTGAAGACACTACTTTCTGATATCTTTTAGGTGTCAGCTTTCTCACGCAACTTCATTTCACGGTCTTTTAAAACTATTTTGTGGACATTTTTTATGCTTTGGAAGGTGTCACGTGGCCACGCTACCTTCTCCTCCACCATCTTCCTCCGTCCTTTCTTTTCCACAATATAAAACTGAAACTTTTATAAAACTGTGTTATAAAACTACTTTATAACAGTATTTATAAATACTTTATAAAACTGAAAACTACAGTTCGTTGGTGTTCATTAATCGCACGTCTACCCTGCAGTGCGTTTCACTAGAGAATGATACATTTGCGCGCGGAAATGCTCCGGCAGAACCACTGGCCGGAAATAGATGTCACTACATTTTCAGATACCACGCGCGAAAATACAAATTTTGAAATACATGTAAGAATGAGACTTCCAAAATGTTTCTAATTTTTTAAATTAATTTACTTCATAGTATTGTCTTTATACTTTTCTAATATATTAAATTGTTCAAGATCTTATGTTTTAATTCAATTTTTCAAAATTCTTTCTTACCATTAGAAAATATTTTGGAAGCAATTTCTATTATTTTGTAAGAATTATAATGTATTTTATAATTTTTTTGAAGAATATTTTGTAATAATATTAATATAGCAAGAAAAGAAAGACACTTAAAAAGCACAATTAGGATAACTGTTTTAGGTTAGGTTAACTGTGCTTTTTAAGAGTAATAGTGATTAGCACTACAAGCTATTTATTCATCAGCAGCGGCTATGTTCTGCATCACACTTTGTGTTGATATTTGTTAAAATGTTATATGTTTTAATAAATGTAATGTTTAACGCGTTAACTGCCACGACGGTCATTGTAAAATATATGAAAATAAAAAATTGACAGCGTATTAAGTAATTACCTAAAATTTACGTTTTACTGATGATAGGATTGTATCATGCTTTCAAATATTTGTTTTCATAAAATCTTAAAATCCCTTATTTCGATTTCTTCATAAATGCGCACGACAGTTAACGTGTTGAATATAAGAATATTTCTTTTATGTAAGAAAATTGATATATCATAAATGTTATTAATATATTTTTGTACAATTATTTAAAGAATTATAGAACGTAATTATCTAACAATTTATTTGAACGAAAATGTATTTTTGTTGTACTTGTGAACATCAGTCAAGAAGTAATAAATTCATAATAAAAAGTAGAATCAAAGAGAATTTTATTTATTATCGAAATTATTAGTTCAAAAATAATAAATTTTATATACTTATAGCCGATAATAAAACAAATGTAATAATAAATAAACAAGATTTTATAATTTAATTTTTATTATTAGCATAATTTATATATAATATGAATTTATATAATTAGTCTAATTCATATATCGACGATTTTGATAACAGAGCTCATCTTAACCGATGACTCTGATGATCACCATAAAGTATAGGAATTATTGAAAATAATACGCATGTAAATACATCAAGAAAAAAGGAAACAATCTTTTAAAAAAAAACGCCATAAATGCTGTTAGCAACACCATAACTGCTGAACTATGATGAACACGAGTGAAGTACCGACTGGATTATGTCGGTAATTAATTGATTAGATTTCAACGGTAATATAACATCAGCGAAATTTCTATTATAGTTCCGCGTATTACTGCTAGATGGCGCCGCGTCGAACCTGCATAAGGGGACGTTCAGATTAGACAAGTGCTTGTCAAAATAGCCTAATGTGAACGACATTTAATTAAAGTTCCGCGTATCACTGCTAGGTGGCGCTGCGCCGAACCTGAATAAGAGGGTGTTCAGATTAGACAAATAAGCACATGTCAAAATGACTATTGATTTGGACTATTGGGATTTGGGACTGAGGACGTGCTATTGAACACTTCGTGAGGATAATTTTTGAGTCTTCAGTTTCTTCAAGTACTATTTGGTGTCGTTTATTTTGAGAGGTCTTGTTCTTTTTTTTTTTACAAAATCTTGAACATCTAATTTCGGTATTAAAAAGAGTTTTAAAGGTGAGCGAGGGACCTTCCTCCGCTATACCTTGAGTCCCGAAGACCCAAGGTGTTGAGGACGCCGTCATGGCGTCCCCAAGCGACGCCACTAAAGTAAAGGGCAGGAGCGGTAGCGCTGCCCAAAAAAGGAAAACTGCGATGGATGTGGAATCTACGCCGAAAAGGAAAGACGATAGGCAGATGGAAAATGGCTCTGCTGTTGCTGATTTGAACATTACATTATACCCATCTGGACATAAGGGACCTGCTTATGTTTCTTTAAATCTTAAAAAGCAAGAAAAGAAGGTCAGGAATTCTCAACATTTACTCAATGTCGCAAGAATTGTCAGCGCAACTGGTGTAGGTGCTGAGGAAATTAAGCCTCAAGGCTATGGAAGGTTCGAGGTGAAATTTAAGACAGCTGAACTCGCCAACAATTTTACCTCCAGTAGGCTTCCCGAGATCAAGAAGCTCAACCCAATGATCCCAAGATTCAGGGTTCAAAGGAGGGGTCTTATTAGACAGATTAGTGTAGATCATGACTTACAGAATCTAATAGCTAAGTCTGATTCTCCCTGTAAAATTATTAACGCCAGAAGGTTGAATAGAAGGCAGCTTAATTGTGAAACTAAACAAGTGGAGTGGGTTCCTTCAGAAACTGTCTTACTTACTTTTGAGGGAACGGTGCTGCCGGATTCTATCAAAGTCTACAACCTGGTGGTTGTGCCAGTTGAAGTTTACGTTGAGCCACAGAGAACGTGCTTTAACTATTTCCGGTATGGTTACTCCAGTAAACACTGCAGGAGTGCTCAAGTCTGCAGGGTTTGCGGTTCTGCTGATCACTGTAAAGAAGAATGCCCTGACAAGGACGAAGTTAAGTGTCTTCACTGCAAGGGGGATCACAAAACCTTTGATCAAACTTGTAAAGAGTTTCTGTTGGATTATTTATGTATAATCCTTTACAAAAATGAATCGTTGAGAATCACTGTTTTCTTTCTTTGTAAGAATCATACTGGCACCACCAGGTCTAAGGGCCTGTGACTGTTTAGAGTCGAAGGCCAGGGTAATAAACATGGTGCAGAGTTTTTCTCTTGTATTAAGTGGACGCTAGCTTTCCCTTTTAGAGTCAGAGCGTCAACCTCACTTCTAGAACAGTTTTCAAAGAGTAAAGACGTTCTTCCGAGGCAGTATAAATAAAACAAGATAATAATTAGATAGAGGACTATAATCATTTACCCATAATCCAATAGTTTCAAACTCAACAACATATCTCTAAGCAAATGGCTTTTGCAAATGTAAGTTTCTGGGAGGCTCGGGACTTTGTCTCCAGGGGTTCTCAATCCTCAAGTTTCCAAGGCTCCCCCTCTAACGACAGAACATTTTCCACCTCTTCAAGCTGCCTCTCAGAGCAGCGTGATGTCTTTGAAGTCCTTTGGAGGCCAGCAAAGACCTGCTCCTCTTTCAGCTTGGAGTAATTCTAACTCTCTCAGTGGTAGCACTACTTCTTCTGAAGGAAGTGTACCATTAAATACTTCTGTAATGCATAAGACTACTGCATCAATTAACAGTGATTGTATAAGTGATTGTATATCTACATTATCACCGGTTAAAAGAAACATTAAGGTTTCGAGTCTGAACAACGCTTGCTTCAAAAGGGAAGTCTCGCCTGCTCCATCCACCTCTTCTCCAATTGTTTCCAGTTCTAAAACTGATCTCACCACTTCACCTCGTTCATCCTTTGGCAAAGTACTCTCTTACAGTCCCCTAAACGCTTCCTTATCTCAACAGATTTCTACCCAAATTAAAACTTCCTCTATGACTTCTCTTTCATCTTCCTCCTCTGTTAAAAGTGTTAATTCTCTTAAACAATATAAAGCCAATCCCAAAAAGAAGTAGTGATGGCTCAGTCCATTAATTTACTTGTTTGGAATTGTAGAGGAATTCTCCCTAAATATTCTGAGCTTCCTATTCTTTCAGTTCAAAAAGATATTATTCTTCTCACTGAAACATGGCTTCAACCTAACAAGCATATTCATTTAAATGGCTTCACCATCCTTAGGGCTGACAGGCTGGGCTCCAGGGGTGGGGGCATTGCTTGTTTCATTAAAAGTTCATTATGATTTCAAACCATTTCCTTTAAGAATTACATTGATGATCATACAGAAATTTTAGGTTTTCAACTCCTCACTTCCGCTGAACCTCTGAACATAATAGTAATTTATAGACCTCCTGGTTTTCCTTTTAAGTATCATTTATGGAAGCCTTTTCTTGAGAATCTCTGCCTTCCAGGTTCCACCATAATTGCTGGGGATTTTAATGCCAATCACCCAGCATGGAACTCAGAGGTAGAGGACGTGGCTGGCATTTCTCTTTTAAGAATCATCAATGAGTGCAATATTTTTATTCACAATTCTCATACTAGTTCTCATCTTGGTTCTCCGGGTCAACACAGCAATAATTTGGATCTTATTTTATCCACTATGGACATTGCTCATTTTATAACGTCTAGTCAACTTGATGATACTCATGGCTCCGACCATTTTCCAATAGTTGCACAAATATCTCATTGTGCTCCTTTGCTCAAAAGTTCTTTCAAACTCTCCTCTAAGAGAACTGATTGGTCTGAGTATCAGGATATCATGGAGAATAACTGGTCTTTTTTCCTCTCACTGGAATTCACTCAGCTCCCAGTACTCTCGCAGTATTCAATTTTTACAACTAAAATGAGAGAGGCTGTACAGGCTTGCTCTCCGTCACGGTCCCTTAGCCCTCGGAAAAGGCACGTTGTTCCTGCCCCTTGGTGGGATAAGGAGTGTGATAAGATGTTGAGGTTGCGAAAAGCTTCTCTTAAGAAGTGGAAACACACTCTCAGATTGGAAGATTGGTTTGCTTATAAGAAGCAGGCTGCTTGTACTAAGAGAACTCTCAGGGTTCGAAAGCGACTGTCTTTTCGTCGCTTTACTGGTGAGCTAAATAGCCGTACCAACGTTTCACAGTTGTGGAAGACTGTCAGAACATTTAAGTCTAGATATTGTCAAAACACTGTAAGTGATGGTCAATCTTTTAATCCTAAGGAAATTGATATTGCTGTTTCCAAAATAGCTCCTCCTTGGGCTCCAGAGCTCCCTTTGACCATTCCTCCTGATAATTCTGGGACTTTTTTAAATGCTCCCTTCACCCTGTTGGAGCTTAACTATTCGATTGACTGCCTACGCGAGGGGTCTTCTCCTGGGCCTGACTGCATAGACAACACCATGATTCTTAAGCTCCCTGTCAAGACCAGGCTCATTCTTCTGGACATTCTGAATGATCTTTACTCAAACAATTTTATTCCGACAGAATGGTTGTCCTCTCACCTTCATTTTATTCCTAAACAAGGGGGTAAAGGGCTACGTCCGATTAACTTGACCTCTTGCATCTGCAAGCTTTTTGAGAGAATGGTTAAGCTTCGTCTACAGTGGTGGTGTGAGACTAGTAACATTCTGCCTGACTCTCAAGCAGGCTTTCGTAAGGCTAGATCTTGTCAGGATAATATTGGAAGTATTATTTTGGAAGCTAATAAAAGTTTTATGCTTGACGAGTGCACAGTTGTCGCCTTTCTGGACATATCTGCTGCTTTCGATAGTGTTCATATTTATACCCTCATTGGAAAATTGGCGGATCTTCGGCTTGCAGGCAATATTCTGCATTTTATTTCCAATCTTACCTACTTTAGAAGAGTCTCAATTCTTTCTAACTCCTCTTCTCCTACTCTTCGTCTGTTGTATAAGGGTGTCCCTCAGGGCGACGTCCTTAGTCCTCTCCTTTTCAATCTCTATGTTAGTAGTGTTTTGATGCATCTTCCGTGTTATGCAAAATTCCTACAGTTTGCTGATGATTTTGCCGTTATTGTTACTCACAAAAATAGGGCCACTGCCATTGGTATCTTAGAAAACTGCATCGAAATTATCAGGCAAAATCTCTCTGCTTTGAATCTGGATCTGTCCCCTCTCAAGATACAGTTTCTTTCTTTTAATTCAGGCAATTCCTCTCCTGGCTCTTTACATCTTTCCATAAATGGACACATTATTCCCAATGCACAAAGTGCCAAATTCCTAGGCATCCACATTGATCAGCATCTGCGGTTTGACACTCATATACACAATCTTGTCAAGCACTGTCAGCGAACTTTAAATGTCATCAGATTTCTAAGAGGAACTTGGTAGGGTTGTGACCCTCAGACCTTGCTCATTATTTACAAATCCATTATTCGTTCTAAGATAGAGTATGGCTTATGGTGGCTCTTTCCTTCCCAGAAGGGTTTGGCAGCCAAATTGGAAAGGTTACAGATTCAAGCTGCTAAGTTGGCCTTAGGATTGAGATTTTCTTCTCCGAACAATGTTGCGCATGTTGAGGCCAGACTTCCTCCACTAAGGGTCAGGGCAGAGTTTTTAGGTTCTAAATACTTTGTCAAAGTTTTCTCCTTTAGTAATAATCCTATTTGTTCTTACCTCGAAAAGTTCACTGAGCTGTGGAATGCTTCCTATTGGGGTTCCTCTGATAGGAGGAAACGGGGAGAAGTGATTCACTCTTGCTTGGCCTACTCTCTTCCTCTCAAAGATCATCTGTATACTCTTCATCGAGTTCCTTGTCATTTGTCAGATCTAGATACTCAGTTTTCTGAGATCAATGTCAATACCTCCTTTGGTCTTCATCTTCAACCCTCCCCCTCTGCAAACCTGGAATTTGCATCTTTTATCTCTGAAAATTTTCCTAATCACATTCTCATTTTCACAGATGGGTCTAAATCTGATGATTCCCCATCTACAGGTGTTGCCTTTGTTTGTGCTCAACTCAATAAGAAATTTGCCTTAAGCCTTAACCCTCATGCTTCCATTTATACTGCTGAGTGTGCAGCCATATCCTTTGCAATTGATATGGCAAAGAAGAACAAAGATTTATCTTATCTTATCTGTTCTGATTCGCTTAGTGCCCTTCAATCCCTTCTTGCTAAACCTTATACTGCAAGCACAAATCCTTTTATTGTTCGGATTAAGGAGAGTTTAAAAACATTTAACTGTGACTCTAATTCAGATAGTAGTATTTCCTTTCTTTGGATTCCTTCGCATCAAAACATTGAAGGAAATGAGCTTGTAGATAAGGCAGCCAAAGAAGCTGCTCAGAATCCTCCCTCATCCCATATTTCTATTCCTTACACTGACTTCAATTCTGTTCTAAGAAGAAGATTATGGGAGCAAGCATCAGAAGCCTGGCTTAAAGACTCTAATCGCAAAGGATCTCATTATTTCAACACTTACTTCGATTCTTCTAAACACCCATGGTTTCATAATCTCTGTATCTCTAGATTTGTATCTTCCTGGGTCTCCAGATACAGATCTAATCACTACAATTTTGGTGTTTCACTGAAGAAAATAGGCGTCGACAGTTCGTCGAATTGTCCTTGTGGTTTTGTTGATCGTGATTTAAATCATGTTATCTGGGATTGCTCTCTTCCTGTCTTTCAGCAACATAGGAGGGTTATGTTGCGTAAGCTTCAGTTACATGGTTGGAAGCCCCCTCTTACAATTGAGCCTTTTCTTCAGGGAGTTAACTTACAAGCCATTGCGATAATTATGCACTTTCGGAAACTCTCGCGACTCTGCGTTCGTCAGGGACTTGAAGTTATCTGCGTTATATGTGCCAACATTTAGGAGATTTCTTAGTTATTTACAAAGCAGTATCTAGTTATGTATAAGTTTTATTGTCATTGCGCATTATATGTTCTGTTCTGTTCTTTATTTTCTCTTACGAGAGGGCGCTTGGGAGGTTTCCTCCCAATTGGCCCATTGCGCATTATATCACTGTATTTCTCTATTTTGTACGATCCTATTAAGTTTCTTGTGTATTGTTATTTATTGTTGTTCTTTTTGTTTTTATTCATGTTGTTTACTTTTATCTTCTTCATATGTATTGTACACTGTTGTATGTTTGTATTTCGCTTATGGGCTATCTCTGCTCAAAGCGTTTAAATAAACGAAACGAAACATGTCAAAATAGCTTAAGGGGGGCAATACCTTTAGACTTTAGACCGATGAAAATAAGCTGATTTTTTGTATAGGATATCTTTGTTTTGCGTTTTCGAAATTTCAGGTATAATTTATTATAACTATTTTTATTATAACTATTGCC